GGAGGAGTTTGAAACACTACTAAGAGTACACCAACCAGATATTGTAGGAGTTGTAGAACTGTTGTACAAGAACAGGAGAATCGACCCAGAGGAATGTGAGTTCAGTATTGCTGGATATGACTCATTTACGAACCTAACTCAAGAATCCTGCAGGAGGGGTGTGGTTATCTACGCTAGGCAAGACCTTAGAGCCAGCCAGGCGAGGGTACAGGGAGAGGATGTCTTTGAAGAGTCCAAGTGGTGTAAAATTAAATTAAAGGGAGGGGACTTACTTATCGTCGGGTGTATCTACAGATCCCCGAACTGTGGCCCACTAAATCAAAGGAACTTAAGAACCTTAATAAACAATGCGGCGATGCTCAACCCCAGCCACCTCCTTATCATGGGGGACTTTAACTATGGCGACATCGACTGGAGAAACGAGTCAACCCCGAATGACTTGAATAATCCTGCTACTCTTTTTGTAGAAACTCTGAGAGATAATTTTCTGTTCCAACATGTGAGAGACCCGACACATTACAGAGGGGAACAAACACCCAAGCCACTTGACCTCATCATAACAAACGAGGAGGGTATGGTGGCCAAACTGGAACACCTTGCCCCAGTTGGCACCAGTCACCATACAGTGTTGTCATTCAGATTTAACTGTTACCTAGTTCAAGATAAGGCCAGGCCAAGGTGCAAATATTACAAGGGAAATTACAATGGGATGAGGGAAGAGATGAGGGGTATCAACTGGCCTGACTTATTAAGGTACAAGAACGCAGACACTACGCTGAATATCATAACTAGTAAAATGACCCATTTGATCGATAAATATATACCCAAGACCAAACCCAGTGCTTCTAGGAATACGAGGGGATCCCTACACATGAACCATGCGGCGGTCGACAAAATTAAGAAGAAAACCCAGAAATTCAAGACGTGGGTTGGGTCAAACGATGAGCAAGACAGGAGGATGTATGCAAGAGCCAGAAACCAAGCAAAGATAGAGTGTAGGAGGGCTGAAAAGGAGTTCCAAAGGCTGGTTGCACGCGAGGTCAAGTCAAACCCAAAGGCGTTTTACCGCTATGCAAAGTCGAAATTGAAAACGCGAGTAGGAGTATCAGACCTGAGGCTTGAAGATGGTAGTTACGCAGATTCTGACCAGGATAAAGCTGAGGCATTGAACAGCTTCTTTTCCTCAGTGTTCACAAGAGAGGATGCAACTAACCTTCCTGCGTTTGAGGACAGACGGTTCGACACAGCACTGACCCACATTGTGTTCACAGAAGAGGGTATTAGAAATAAACTGTCCAGGCTAAAGGTCCATAAGAGTCCTGGACCTGACATGGTGCATCCTAGAGTGCTAAGGGAGCTGTGCAACGAGCTTGCAGAGCCCCTGAAGATTCTGTTTTGTAAATGCCTGGATGAACAAATGGTCCCCAGTGAATGGAAAGTGGCTTATGTGAGTCCTATCTTCAAGAAGGGCGATAGGCACTCCACGAACAACTATAGACCGGTGAGCCTGACCAGCATAATATGTAAAGTACTTGAGAGTATTATCAGAGATGCAGCGATGGAACATCTACTACGAAACAACCTTGTAAAAGATTGCCAACACGGTTTTATGCCGGGGCGCTCTTGCTTGACACAATTGCTCAAGGTATTGGATATTTGGACCCATATTCTAGAACGGGGTGGTAATATCGACAATATTTACCTAGATTTTGCCAAGGCTTTCGACAGTGTACCCCACGAAAGGCTGAAAATCAAACTGGAAGGGTACGGAATTCGGGGAAATGTCCTAGCGTGGATAGAAGACTTTCTACATGACCGCAAGCAATGTGTGGTGATTAATGGCACGAAATCGTCATCTGTACCTGTAACAAGTGGGGTACCGCAGGGTAGTGTATTGGGCCCGCTGTTGTTTGTTTGTTTCATAAATGATATGCCTGACGTTGTACACTCCTCCATACAAATGTTTGCCGATGACGCCAAGTTATTTCGGGAAATTAAGAACCAAGCGGACTGTGAAGAGCTGCAGAAGGACCTCTGTGGGCTCCAGGAATGGTCGAAGGAATGGCTGCTGAGATTCAATGTCACGAAGTGTAAGAGGATGCACCTGGGGCGTACCAACGGTAAGGAGGCGTACCATATGTCCCAACGGGATGAAGAAAATGTACTAGTTGAGACTGTGTGTGAGAAGGACCTAGGTGTGTATGTTGACAATGAGCTGAAGTTCTCGGGCCATTGTGAGAAGAAGGTAAATCAGGCAAATAAATTATTGGGTCTTATAAGAAGGTCGTTCAGATATCTAGACGGTCCGTCCCTCGTGACGATCTTCAGGAGTGAAGTGCTTCCCCATCTGGAGTACTGTCACCCCATCTGGTCCCCGAGATATGCTAGGGACTGTCAGTTGGTTGAAAATGTTCAAAGGAGGGCCACCAAGCTGGTGCCTGCACTTCGGCATCTCAGCTACCCTGCGAGATTGGAGCGCCTGAACTTGCCTAGCTTATACTACAGACGGGCAAGGGGGGACCTAGTTGAGGTTTATAAGCATCTCAGGGGGCACTACTCAGTTGAGTGTCCTTACTTGGAGCTGGCGGACGCTCGCCCCACAAGGGGTCACAGCTCAAGATTGAAGAAGCCGCAAGTCCAGAAAACCGTGAGGGCAAACTTTTTCGGAGTGAGGGTTGTAAACTCTTGGAACAATCTACCAGAGTGTTGTGACGGCACCGAGTGTGAGCTCTTTCAAGAGAAGACTTGACCAACACTGGAGCGGGTTCAGGTACATTCAGGAGCCGGTGCATGCCCAGTATTTGCCAACAGTGCGTGACAGAGACGTGACCGATCGCCCGGGCGGCTAGCGAGCCGACCTTTTGGTGAAGAATATAAAGGAAAAGAGTCGTGACCGATCGCCCAAGCGGCTAACAAGCCGATCAGTGGCGAAGAGGATAAAAGTAAAAAAAAGTTAAAGATGGTAATTATGCATATTCTAACCAGGACAAGACGGAGACATTGAACAGTTTCTTTTCCTCGGTGTTCACAAAGAGAGGAAGCAAACAATCTTCCTGCTTTTGAGGACAGTTGGTTTGACACAGCGCTGATCCACATTGTGTTCACAGAAGACGTTATAATAAATAAATTGTCAAAGCTAAACGTTCATAAGAGTCCCGGCCCTAACAGAGTGCTAAGAGAACTGTGTAACGAGCTTACTGATCCCCTGACGATCCTGTTCTGTGGATGCTTGGTTGAGCAAAAGGTCACCAGTGATGGGAAAATGGCTTATGTGAGTCCTATTTTCAAGACGGGCAATCGTCACTCCACGAATAATTATAGACCAGTGAGCCTGACCAGCATAGTATGTAAAGTACTTGAGAGCATTGTAAGAGATGCCATGATGGAACATCCACTACAAAACAACCTTGTAAGAGTGCCAACACGGTTTTATGCCGGGACACTCCTGCTTAATACATTTAATGGATGTTTGAACTCAAATTCTGGAATAGGACGGATATCTAGAATTCTAGACAGTCCGTCCCTCGTAACGATATTCAGGAGTGAGGCTCTTCCCCGAGGTGTGCTCGGGACTGTCAGTTGGTTGAAAATGTCAAAAGGAGGGCCACCAGACTGGTGCCTGCACTTCAGCACCTCAGATACCCTGAGAGATTAGAGCGCCTGCAACTGCCTAGCTTATACTACAGATGGGCAAGGGGCGACCTAATTGAAGTGTTTAAACATTTCAGGGGGCACTACTCAATCGAGTTTCCATACCTGGAGCTGGCGGACGCCTGCCCCACAAAGAGTCACAGCTCAAGGTTGAAAAAGCCATAAGTCCAGAAAACAACGAACTTTTCGGAGTGAAAATTGTGAACTTTTGGAACAATCTGCCAGAGAGCGATGCGACTGCACCGTGTGAGCAAAGTAAAAGTAAAAGCAAGTAAAAGACTTGAACAACACTGGAGCAGGTTCAGATAAATTCAGAAACCAGTTCATGCCCAGTACTTGCCAACAATGTGTGACAGAGATGTGACCGACCACCCAAGCGGCTAACGAGCCGATCAGTGGCGAAGAGGATGCTACAGGTAAAAAAGTATAACACATTTTCTCAGCTCTGTAAATATGTTAAAGATAAAGTGCCTTTGTAACTCTTGTCCATTATGTGGTTATCGGCATACATGGATCACGCGCACCTACAGGTATATATTTTTCTTAGGTAATTTGAGTTTTTACATAATTCCTCTTTTCTGTTTATCTTTTTCTGTAACGATACACCTATTTTTTTTCATAATGAACTTTTTAAATTAAAATTTAGTTTAGTCATATATTATTGTGAAGGATCTTCGTTTTTATGCTGTTTATATCCTGTTGATCAAAATCCTGAAATGAAATAATGTTTAATATTAGTACCAATTACCGTTTTTAATAATTTACTGGAAATAATGGTTGACAATTTAACATAAAAAATTTGTGGAGTATAAAAGTTATTGGTAATAGTATATCATCTCTACTGTTTGTCCGCGCGTCCTAAATGGCGACTTTTGTTGTGGGGGCCTCGGCTACGATGTAGTTTTGCTGGACACATTTTACCATATTATATAGTATCTCCGTAACGTTCAACGCTATAATATAAAATTCCTACTGATGAAAATACCCAAGAACCATTTGGCATAATGGAATCCGACTTTCCATGTAAGTAAATAGGTTTCTTTCCATAAATTGTGTTCGCTTTTTCTCGACTACGTCATCGACCTTGGTAATGGCGGACACGTTCGTACTGATCCGATTACGTGACTATGGGATTAAAAACCGGACCATATTATACGTAGCCTTTCGTTACTATCCCAATACATGTAAATGGGAATAATTATAACGTTGTAAAATGTATTGGGGGTATATGTGGTATATAGAAGCCATTGTGATAGGTCCCTGCCTCCCAACACCCGCACGAGGCTTCCTTTTGTGCTGCTTTAACTAACTATGATCAATACATTCGGACAAGCTAAGTCAAATGTCCGAGTTCCTTGACATTGTTCGTTTTACATCCTAACTGCCTATGACAAGCTTGAAGTTTTTTTTTTTTTTAGTTTAACAAATTTATTGGCAAAGCTTGTAGTACAGTTTGCCGATTGTGAGTAATTCAGTCAGGTCTTGACACTGAGGGTGGTATCACTTCTCACTGTCACGCAGGACAGAGGTTCACACACAAAGAAATACATCATGTTTATTAACAACTATATATGTATAGAGGTCAGGTTCATGTGGGTAATGTCACTGTTCACTGCCATGCAGGACAGAGGTTCATACACAAAGAGATGCATCATATTCATTGACAGTACATATACATATATGTAAACACACACACATATACATACATATACGTATATACATACACATATACATGTACACGTACATATACATGCACACACGCACACATACATACATATACGTCGGTCAGATTCATGTGGGTAATGTCACTTTTCACTGCCATACAGGACAGAGGTTCATACACAAAGAATGCATCATATTCATTGACACTATATATAGGTCAGATTCATGTGGGTAATGCCACTGTTCACTGCCACGCAGGACAGAGGTTCATACACAAAGAAGGAAATACATCATATTCATTAGCAGCATATATACAGTAGGTCAGTGGATCACATACATTGGAGTCATATTCTAATTGAAGACTAATCAGTGTGGGCTAGCAAAGCTTGAAGTGGAAATGATTGCTGTTACACATGCATACGGCACCTTCTTAATTAAATAAAATTAATAAAATACACCAGAAGTACTAAGAACACTCGTTAATTCTATAGTGAGAATCATGATCGTTCAGCTTAATAGGGATGACAGTTCTCATTACAAAGGTTAAAATACGGTAGATACATATACTATACTGTATATACTCTACCAAATATTTATCTAAATATATACAAAGTACACATTAATTAGAAACGAGCAAAGCGTTGCATTACACAAATTGAAGTTGGCTTGTCTATTTTGCACAAGGATTTTTGATATTTCTATGGTAACTTTTTATTTAGAAGATTCACGTATTCATTATTTTCCTAATTCAGTCAGTCCATCAAAGGGGAACTATTTCATTTGTTGACACCCAAAGAATATTGAAAATTTGTTGACCATTCTAAAAGACTTTTCTTCTTTGGCATTTCTATCGCGGGATATTTAGCATTTTATTTGTTAGATTGTTAGTCAATCAGAGCTCGGTATAGTATGTTGGTTAGGCTATTTTCCTTAAATTAATTATATATTTACACTATCTTTGGGTGGCAACAAGTCAAATTATACCCAACAAACGATTGTCCAAAGAAAGCTGTTAATAGCTTTTTTTTTTTAATTTATCAATTATACAGAAAAAAGCTAATCATATTTTTGTGGCAAGTTTTAATTTCTATTGTCAATTGTTGGAACTGTATTCTAAGGCAAATGTTGCTGTTCTAAGCTACTTTTGAGCAAATTGTGGAACACTATAGTACATCACTATTTTTGTGCACTGAAACAAGATAACTTTTAAGAAAAAAAGTTTATCTGTGAAAATAGCCTATATCAACCTCATGCAGAGTAATTAAGGCATTTAGGTTCTTTAGAAATTTTGAAAGTTTACCTTCTATAACAGGCAAAAGGAATCACTCAAACCTAACCAACCTACCAAACCTTATCAGTTCATACTCTTGAACACCAACTCACGATTACCAGAAACTTAGGATTTTTGGGGGGGGCAATAATTAAGGACAGTAGCCTGGATTACTCAGCTACATTTCATAATTTGGGGGGATGTATTTCTGAAACGTGCATAACGATAAATGACTCCATGACCAGTGTTAATACCCCATAGTTTTTGTTTTTCTTTTTTTATCCTCTTCAACGCTAATCTGCTTTTTAGCCATTTGGGTTGTCGGTCACATCTCTGTTACCAGTGCTCCATTGTTGGTCAAGTCTGGTCTTGAAAGTGCTCACACTCAGTGCCATTACAACACTGGCAGGTTGTTCCAAGAGTTCACAATTCTCACTCCAAAAATGTTTCCCCTCTCTGTTTTCTGGACTTGTGGCTTCTTCAGCCTTGAGCTGTGACTCCTTGTGGGGCGGGCATCCACCAGCTTCAGGTATGGACACTCGATTGAGTAGTGCCCTCTGAAATGTATATACACTTTGAGTAAGTCACCCCTTGCCCATCTGTAGTATAAGCTAGGCAGTTGCAGGTGTTCTGATCTCTCTCAGTAACTGAGGTGCCGGAGTGCATGCACCAGTCCTTTGAACATTTTCAATGAACTGACAGTCCCTAGCATATCTCGGGAACCAGATGGGGTGACAGTACTCCAAACAGGGAAGCACCTCACTCTTAAGATCGTTATGAAGGACGGACCATCTAGACATCTGAATGACTTTCTGATGAGACCTACTAGTTTAGTTGCTTGATTCACCTTCTTCTCACAATGGCCTGAGAACACAAGTTAATTGTCAACATACACATCCAGGTCCTTTTCACATTCAGTCTCTGTTAATGCAGTTTCTTTGTCCTGTTGGGACATGTGATATGCCTCCTTACTGTTGGTACAACCTCAGTGCAATCTCTGACACGTCATGACATTAAATCTTAGCAGCCATGTCTTCGACCACTCTTGAAGCTGACAGATCTTTCTGTAGCTCTTCATAGTCTGTTTGGTCTTAATTTACCTGAATTACTTGGCATCATCCACAAACATTTGTATGAAGGAGTGTATAGCTTCTGGCATGTCATTTTTTAAACAATCAACAATGGGCCCAGTACACTGCCCTGTGGTACCCTGCTTGTCACAGGTACACATGATTATTTTGTGCCATTAATCACGACACGCTGTTTGCGGTCATCAGGAAACCCTCCAATCCACACTGAGACATTTCCCCAAATCCCATACCCTTACAGTTTAATTCTCAGCCTTTCATGGGGTAAGCCTTGGCAAAATCTAGGTATATATTGTTGATATTACCACCCTGTTCCAGAATATGGGTCCAAATATTCAGTACCCTAAGTAATTGTGTTAAGCAGGAGCAGCCCGGCATAAAATCCTTTCCAAGGTTGTTTCGTAGTAGATGTTCCATCTTGGCATCTCTTGTAATGCTTTCAAGTACTTTACATACTAGGCTGGTCAGGCTCACCGGTCTATAATTATTCGAGGAGTGACAATCGCCCTTCTTGAATATAGGACTCACATAAGCCATTTTCCAGTCACTGGACACCTTTTGCATTTACAGAACAGGTCTTTAGGGACTCAGCAAGCTAATTGCTCAACTCTTTTAGTACTCTGGGATGCACCATATCAAGGCTGGGACGCTTATGAACCTTTAGCTTTGCCAATTTATTTTTTATACCCTCTTCTGAGAACACAATATGGGTCAGCATTGTGTCATACTGTCTTTCCTGAAATACAAGAAGATTGTTCATTTCCTGCCTTGTGAACACCGAGGAAAAGAATTTGTTCAGTGGCTTTGCCTTGTCCTGGTTAGAATCTGCATAATTATCATCTTCAAGCCTCATTCCCAATACACCTACTCTTGGAGTTTTGGAGTTATATTTATAATAAGTGGTAACAGTTGAGTGGGTCTTTTGACAATCCACATGCAGTAACATGTACATCTCTTCAGGTACGATTCACAATCAGTGATTGGGTTGGCATTGTTGGTGACTACCTTATGTTACCCCAATGACGGACAGGTGAAACATACTGTACATACATTTTCTTGAGCACACTTTGCCAGTGATGCTTGAGGATGTGCCCATAAGGATATGTCACTAACTGGTACAGTGTATGCATGATGGTGCCCCAGCTCATTTTGCTCAAATAACAATGGAATTCTTAAATGTCTGGTGGGTGGGTAGGGCATGGGGGCCCTGTGCCAAGGCCACCTTGATCACTTGACCTAATTTCCCTTGACCCATCACATTACAGAGGTCCAGATTAGTGAGTGCATAACAGTGCTACAAGCATTCACAACAGCCCCTGGAGTCTTAAAACATTTATGACAGTCACTATTACAATGGGTTGAAACCTGCATTCAGGAAGAGAGCCAGAACTTTGGACTTTTACTGTAAAATCCATGTCAGATTGCATATGATTGTAAATAAATTGTACTAACAACACTAGACATTTAATTTATACTCTTTAGATTTTATCATATTCCAACCCCATTTGTCATGTACTATACAATAACACTGAAAATATGGGGTATTAGTTCTATGGTCATGAAGTACTGGGTACTTTTCTATTATGCCTTTAACATAACTTAACCATAACCTAGGTTAGGTTATGTTGTGTTAAAAAACTTACTATGATTATTTTTATCTAAGATTTTTTTATACGATAATTATTTTGTTACACCTGTAATTGGCTGGGTAGCCTGGGCTACTGTCCTGAAGTATTACTTTATATTGTAGAGCAGTGGTTTGCTGGGGTCCCATAAAACTCATGGGGTTGCTGAAGTCACCTGGGTCTTGCAGTAGTCACAGGTGATTACTTTTTTTTAAGTCCCGGTGTCAAGGACTGAAGGATGTGGCCAACAGGTACTGTCTCATTAAGTCAGGACTATAAATTGTTGCCAAGACAATTAACGCAATTACTCTCCTTGTGTCAAGTCAGACTTGCCCTGATGACACATTTTACAACCTTTGAACTTTTCTCAACTCAGTTCACTCTCTGTTTCCCATGGATGTGGGCATAAAATGGGAGCAAATTTCGCTGATAGATTCCCTGAGTTCAAGACTGATGTAAAACTTTGACTCTTTTGCACTCGAAATGTTAGAATTACAGGCTGACAACAAGGCAAGGGTGAATTTTGACATTATGATGACACATCAAAGTTTTGGATTAATTTATCAAAGAGACATCCAGGGGTTAAAAATCGAGCTATGAAGGTTTTGGTACAATTTGAAATCTCTTATGTCTGTGAAGCAGCTTTCTCGTCAATGTTGTTTATAAAAAATTATTTCCGTAATCAGATATCAAACGTCAACCTAGAAAACTGTCTGCTCTGTTGCTGAACCTCATATACAGTACCTCCAGGTATAAAAAAAATAATTAAATTAATCAAATGATGATGTACATATGTGACACAGTTGTGGCATAATTATATCCCCGGTTAAAAGAAAATTTATTAATTAATAATGCATACATGTGAAGTATGACATAGTTGTAACTAAGAAAATTGTATGTTATGCTGTTTAACTACATACAGTGACCCCTCGGTTAACGAACTCAATCCGTTCCAGAAGGTCGTTCGTTAACCGAAACCATTGTTTCAATGGGTTTTGGGTAATTGGTTCCAGCTCACCGAAAATTTCCTAAATTCAACAAAAATGGGAGAAAAGTTCACTTACTTTGAGGTGTGTATGTAGAATGCTCCTGGATGATGATGATGATGATGGGAATTACAATAGGGGTGGAGGAGAAGGAAGAAGAGAAGGCATTGGGGTGGAAGAGAAGTCACCCCATGGCACCATTTCACCCATAAAATTTTAGTTCTCTTGGTGTATTTCAAGATTATTTTCTTTAAATCAACACTGCACTGCATTATATATTGTCAATATGTAAAATATATTTCAAAATGACCAATAATTTGCTTGGAAACACAGAAAAAAAGCGTTTAGTTGAAGAGATTCTCAAGCAAGATGTTACCTCCAGTGAAAACAGAGAGAGACTAACGCCTGTTTGCTGTGTTAAGAGGCTGGATGCTGCGCTTTAAACTAGTCACTTTACCTTCAATTATGTTCAATAATTGTTAAAATGACTAAAAAATTGAATATTAAACTTTTAAAATTATTGAATAGTATAAACTTCTTGATATTTACTAAAATAGTTAGGAATTTAAGCCCTAGAACCGATTAATGTATTGGCGGACTGATGCTAAAGCTGGTTGCCCGGCCAGTGCAAGCAAAAACATGTTGAGGTCGGTTCGTAAAAAACTCGTTATTCGAGGGATTGCTCGTTAACCGAAGTTAAGAATCTTATGGAAGGTAAATCGTTAACCGAGGGATCACTGTACTTCTTTACTGTATCTCCAAAAATATCAGATAATCCTCATGGGGGTCCTGAGAAAAGGAATGATGTCTCTGATTAAGTTTAATGAATGGCAAGTTTTCCTTGCTGTACTTCGCCACACTAATTTTTTCATTACAACTTTATTTCAGTGGGGTTATATATTCTGAATCAGAAATAGGTTTGTTCTTTTGTGTCCCTCTTGAAAGATTGGAATACCCCCCTCCCAGGGGGTGTGTGCCCCCCACGTTAAGAACCACTCTTCTAGATCAACACTTAATTGTTAGTACAGTACAGTATTACCCAGTACTTATAATTGCAGAATACTGTACAGTACTGTTTAAAGAAACAAAATAAAGAAAAAAGTGCTCTAGATTAACCTAATGTGCCATATTCTGCCAGCCAATCAGTTGCATTAATAAAATCTGCTCTAGACCCTGGTTGCAAAGCTCATGTGAATGGAGTACTGTATAGGTGCATGCATGCCCACAAGGGTAAGCATAGCTTTAATTAGACTCTGTCTTTGATGGAAGTCTTCACTGACACCAATTTAATGGTGATAGTTCTTATAGTAAGGGATGAAATGTTTTAAGGTTAGTCCTCAGGATCCAGTGTCAAGAGTTTCCTGAGTCTCCCTGCCTTGGTGTTTGTGCTTGCAAAAGTCACCTAGCTCTAGTTAGAAAAAGAAGTACTTTACAAAGTCAATCCTTCATGTGAGATGTGTTAACCTGTTTTTGTTCATTGTAGATGTATCCATCAGTAATTTGTGCAGTGTATCAAGCAAAATAACTTAATTATTGGTAAGAATTGGCATTACAGTAGTTAAGAACCTGATGAGAGAGGCTGCTAGGGACGGCACAGCTTGGAGAGCGGCCATCAAGTAATTGCGGCAAATCCATCGGAGCATGAAAAGGGGCTGTAAAATGTTGATGATGATAATTGGTGATGTTATGTATACCATGATACATACATATACTGTATACTGCATAATCCAGTTCAAGTATTTTATCACAGTTACTGTAGTTGCTGTAGATTAATTTGGGATTTTAACATTGTTAATTATACCATTATTAGCACTCGGTTATTAATTTTAACTGTCCTTAACTCCTTCCAGGGACAGATGAGCAGACATATTGCTTCATACAGTCCAGGGCTCGTCTGAAGATACACTGCAATGAAACTCCAGATTATGTATTTCAGTAAGTTTCCCAAATAATGTACATCATATTTAATTAATAATAAATTCCTGTAATTTTATACATTTATAAAGTCAAAAGCTAAGTGAATACAGATATATTAACCCTTAAATCTGTGGCTAATGAATTTAATGGATGTGTCAGTGTAATTTTTTTCTTAAAATAAGATGGAAAATACCTGTTTCACAAAGTTATGAAGAAAATTACATTGCATTACCATGACATGGTATTGAAAGTTGCATGATATGTCACTTGCATCATCTTCACGTACAGGAGTCATCAATGGGACTACTCTGCTGTATGATGTTTTTGACCTCTGCCTCTTATATATTGTTGCTGGTTTCATTATTCCACTAGTTTCATCGTCATTAGACTTACTTTCAGTATTTTCTGGAAACAGTTGTTCAGTTGTTTTTCCTTCTTTATCACTTCAGTAAACAGATGAATATTACTGATGTACAGTTCGGCAAGACCTCTGGGCCACCAATCCCCTCCAATCAGACAACTCAAATCCTCTCTCTATTGGCGCAAGGGCCTGACTGACCATGTAAAAAGGCACATACGTATTACTATATGGTAACCCTATACGGTTCCATAGAAATGATTGGCTGCCATAATGAGCCAAAACAAAGTGTTGACAATTTTAAATGTGCAAGAACTAGAGGTTCCAAGTAACAAAGTAACAGTATTTCATTACTTTACTATACTATACTATACTATACTATACTGTACTCTACTCAAGTAACTTTCTAGAGAATTTGAGTTTTTAAAAGTGCTGTACAGTACTAAAGATTTTGTGTGATTTATTTGAGTACAGGTAATTTTTTTTTGGGGGCACATGAGCAGATGCGGTATTTCTTGATGCATCCATTGTTCATCCAATACTAATGGGCAAGAGTCCTGCACTGCCTCAGCATAGTTACCAGAATTATCCACAAAGATGTTCAACAAAAACAAAGCATGGGAGATTTAACATGGGCTCATGAAAAATATAACATAAGAGTTGTGGGTTTTGTCTAGTGTGCTTTCAAAGCATTTTTGACCTTGGGCCAGTTCCTACATTTAAGAATATTTTTACTCTACCTTATCGCAATGAATTTGTCCCGTTAGTTCAGTCCCTTAAATTATTAAACATTAATGTTGTTTTTAAGTATGACTCAACTATTACTAATATATTAATTAAGAATAGCCCAACCTTGAGTGTAAATGGAAGTGTTTACTGCATTCCATGTAGCAACTGTAATGGAAATTATGTAAGTCAGACTGGGAAAGCATTGCAACTCAGAATTAAACAGCACAAGTACAATATAAGAACGGCATCTGAAAGCAGTGCACTGTTCGTTCATAAAAGGAATAATAGTCATCCCATAGATTGGGAAAACAGTTTAGAAATGTATAAATCATCATGTGTCACAGAAAGATTCTGGTTGAAGCTAGTTTGATTAGATATTGAATTCTATAAACCTTAGTGATGGTCAGTACAAAACTGATAATATGTTACACAAATTTATTTGTCAGTGGCCCAAGGTTATTAATGCTTTGAAAGCATTCGAGGTAGATGTAGGATAGATGATTAGTGGGTCTCATATTTTTTACCTGACTTAACTTGAGTAGTCACGTCGCCCTTTCTCTTAAGCTCCTCTACGTGTGTGGTGGTGTTGGTGTGCGGATCAGTGGATGTCATGATTATGACCTGACTTCATGTTTAATAGGGTCACCCTGTATATTTAAGCCTCTCTCTGTCCATGTAATTCAGTTGCCTCTGAAGATGTCTTGAATAAAGATGAAAGTTAAGGTGCTCCATTGTTTCCCTTTTCCTTGTGTGATTTTATCAAGATTTATCTTATCCATGTTTTCATTGTGGATCTACATGAAATATATTATATATATATATATATATATATATATATATATATATATATATATATATATATATATATATATATATATATATATATATATATATATATATATATATATATATATATATATATATATACACGTATTTAAAATGATAATAATTGGTTCGGGTTACAGTGCAGTATACAGTATTGCAAATTTATATACGTTTCTCTCTCTTTTAGATCAATAATAGATGAACTGGGTTTGACAGGTCAAGTTAACCCCAGTCAGGCTCGCAAGCATTGGGATGCTCTTGTTACTAGGTATAAGGTATGTGAAATTTATTTATTTATTTATAAATCTTGGACCATGTTGTATATATATTAATCTATTCACAAAAGTCTTATTTGATCGGGAGTTCACGTTTGTTAATACATTTTTTATTGGTGATTTTTAATTAGTATCTAGGCATCGTTATAAACCACTCTGGGAAAACAATTGTTTTTAGTTGATATGCTTTGCTCTAGATATGTAGCAGTTGAATATTAGTTTAACTCATTGACTTCAATCACTGTGTCCCTTGCGGCAACCCAGATGACAGACTTTTATGATTTCCAAAAAATGATTCTGTAATAATGATATTGAATATCTACTTCCATTTCATGTAAAACAAATATTTATAGCCTTAATAATTACATATCTAACCTCATATAGTATACCTGTATTTTCATTAAAAATTTGTGATTGATTGTTGTAGGTACAAAATCGTGAACTTAAGTGAAATAATAGTTAGGTATCATTTGAAAAACATGTAAAGATGTGTACAAACTGTAGCCATGTGGGTTCTGCAGAGATGTGGAAGCCATCAGAGTCTGGGGGGGATTAATATAAGGTGGGAGGTTTATTTGCACTTTACTGTCAAAATGCAAGTCCCTGGTAATTAATGTCGAAGAGTTAAGAAGGCTTTAGGGTTAAATAGAATTCATACATATAAAATATTAGGGATCTTTATAAACTGGCATTGATTCCAAGAAGCTGTGTTGAACCCACCAAGCCTACTAGTTACTCTTCAAACATGCCTCTCAGTGATGACAGCTTTAAACAGTTGTAAACAGTAATACGTATCTTCGTTGGCTGGAATCCCTCAAACCTGGAACTCTCCGATAGCTGGAATTGAAATTTTTTTTGAAAATCGTTCCCAAAGTCGGAATATTCTGAAGAATTCCGGCTTTGGGAGTGATTTTCCAAGGTGCACATTTTCCGGAAAATTTTGAGAAAATTTTCCCGATACCCGTAAAATTCTGGGAATGGGGGATTTTTTCCAGGTTTGAGAGATGAAAAGCAGGAGCATTTTCTGGAAATTCTGAGAATATTTTTCCGGTACCCGTAAAATTCCAGGGATGAGGGATTTTTTCTGGCTTTGAAAGATGAAATAGTGCATAATTCTGGAACTTCCAAGAAAATTTTTCCATTACTTGGGTTAAGGGATTTTTCCAGCTTTGAGAGAGTCGTCTCATTACCCGGAAATCTCTCATTCCCAGAAGTGCTCTGCACCAATTGTTCCAGCCCAAATTTTTCAGACTACAGTACATTGTCTGTACTGTACTCTACTGTATTTGGTCATCACACTTGAAAGTTTTATCTTTTTTTTTAGATTTTTTTCAGCGACTCAAGTGGGTAATTTGTACAGTACAAAATATGAAACCTAATTTTGATTTTTGCTGAAATCCAGGTGTTTGATTTATTCATTGATCAACAAAAGATTAATGTTACTTGGGGAGTTATCCAAAAGTAATTGTTTTGATTGTAGAATTCTCTGATGTCCAACCTAGTTCACTGGAAGCACTGGACAGATGACCTGCATCTCACTGATTGATACCCAATTTGCCTTTATTTCTCGACCGTATAAGTTAAAAAGGTAGGGACAGTGTAGATACAGCACACTGTATACTAAGCCTTTGGTACACAAGGAGGCAGCATTGCCATTACTGCACACATTCATTTCCCCAACTTGTAAACTTAGGGACCCATTTACAGCTGGGTGATCTGGGAGTGTCTGGGGATCGAACAACCGACCCCCTGAAATAGGAGACAAGTGATGTATCCATTCAACTGCTGCACTTCTTGGTACATGGGTAATGCAATAGTGATACTGTCAAACACAAAGAGCTAATTCACTTTGCTTGACTCCCACATGCACAGGGTGTTCAGACAAGCATTACTCACGGGCAGTGCCTAAAGCATTGTTCTTCCATACAGGACCACAAGTCTTAACTTGCTAGATGTGCAAGTAAATTTGACAACTTCATTATTATTCGGATATTTGGATCTCATTGTCAAAAAATTGTCCAGTATTATATATTAATTTTTATATCACCCAAAATATCTGAATTAGTGAAGAGCAAGTTAGAGGGATTCAGATGTACAGTATGGCATAACACCCTGTACAGTATTGCACTGTATAGGATATGATAGGTCTTAAGGTATGTTTTGAAGGGGCTATTTCCCTAAATTCCTTGTTTCCCATTAGATTCAGTCCCTATCAACCATGGTTTTGCAAATTGCAGGAGAATTTTAAAATTAAATTCTTGCACCTTGTAAGGGATTACTATACAGGTTGACAACCCTTTATCCGAAATTCCGAAAACCGAAAAGTTCTGAAAACCACCCGGGCATAGATCACTGACCTGCATCAGGGCCTGGGGGGCGAATATATAATAGTAATAATAATTATAATAATAATAATTATTCATAGTAAATAAAAATTTTAATAAAAATACACCAAAATAAAATAATATAACATTAATTATAATAATAATAATAATAATAATAATAATAATAATATATAATAATAAAATTAATAAAAATAACAATAATACAGGAGTACTGTAATAATAAAATAATAATAATAATACGGTAATAATAAAGAAATTCAAGAATGAAAAAAGATCAAAAGTGAGAAACACGACCTAGACGTATGAATTATTATTATTATTATTATTATTATTATTATTATTATTATTATTATTATTATTATAATTTTTATTATTATAATTTTTATTATTATAATTTTTATTATATTTTCGCCCCCCAGGCCCTGATGTGGGTCGGTGATCTATGCCCGGGTGGGCTAATACATTAAAAAACCATTAGCCATTCTTAAAACCGAAAAATTCCGAAATCCGAAATTCCTCTGGCCCCCAAGGATTTCGGATAAGGGATTGTCAACCTGTACCTGTATGTTGGTTACAAAGCTGATGCTAAATTGACCCTACAGAAAGGTTATTAATACTTTTGTCTTGTTACTCATCTAGTTCTAGTGGTTCCCAACCTGGTGGCCATGGTGTATTTCTTGGGGGGCCCTGGGGTAATTTGGACCATGTGACTTCAAGATAAAATTAAATAAGGATTGACCCTCATACCCGAGTTTAAACCATATGAGCTAATGATGCTAATCAATAATCAAATTTTATGTGCATGCACCACACCCATAGTTTTGATTGCCTGAGTTGTTGTTGAGTTGAGTTTATTTTGGTGAGGTTATACTACACTGCATTTACTGCAGGCAAAACAGAGCTTTTTATTTTTCACATATCTATGACTTGGAACCTTTTAATACCATTTTCTTATGCTGTCCCTGTAGCTATTGGTACTGTACCACTACTAAAATATTAAAATCTCATATCCAGCAAGCTCATTCAAGCGACTTTACTTTGTTTTGTCCAAGAAAGATGTAGATGGGGGCCATGGAGGTTATCATATTTTGTCTGGGGGAGCCACAGAATGTTAAAGGTTAAGAACCACTGTGGCCCTATACAGTATCGTTAAAGTCATGTTTTGTGACTCCCATTGACCTTACCGTACTTGGATAGATTACTGTATAGTATTATGCTGTACAGTGAACCATTTGCCTTTTCTCTTGTGTGCACTTAGTAGCACACGACAGTCACACAATACCTGTAAAGTTAAATAGCATGGCACATACCTTTTAAACATCTGTTTTGTGGAAGAGCATAACATTTGTTGAACTGTAGTGCTTCAGTTAAGAGAAATTTGCTTCATTTTCAGTTATTAAAACACAAAGGATTACTTGTAGTTAAAGGTTCTTGGTTTCTTTGAGTCATATTGAACATTGAACTTTGGGGGTAATGAAGTCTTGAAATTTTGGTGTTGTATTTTCTTTTCTTCCTCAGGAACTAAGCCAACCAGCTTTAGAACCTGAAGATGCAGCTCCTCCATCCTGGCCCTTTTATGCTGCCATGCATGATGCTCTCCTCACTATGCCCCCTTCTGTACTCCCAATATCTGTTCCTGAAGAGATGGATGGAACAGGAGGGGTTGTTGAGGAAGGGAATGGCTTAGAAGGGGCATTCCAAGAAGGTCAGTCAATTGATGATATGGACGAAGAGTATGAAGATGAAGAAGACGAGGAGGAGGAAGAAGATGAAGATGAAGAAGAGGATGAAGATGGGATTATGGAAGATGATGACAATATGGGTGAGGGATTTGATGATGAAGATTCCCAAGATATGAATGAATCTCAAGCTGATGATAATTCGCAAGGAATGGAGGGCATAGAGGTAGATGAAGTATGTAAGTGATAGCATCTGTTTTGGTACACCTTTTTTAGTTTGTTATACTGTAGTTTGATAAAAAAATTACAATTTTCACAAGATATAGCTACTGTATGTTTGATAGGCAGCCCAATATCTGATGCAACATTTTGAGTGACAGGTGACTTGTTTTATGAAGGTAACTCAGTAAATGATGATACTTGATCCATAATTGGAGACTTGTTAATGTTTCAAGAATAAGCTTGAAGTGACAAGTTAGAACATAACCTGAACCTGTGAGTTATGCAATTGTACTAATAGATCATTCTGTAGTATTAGTAGGTATTGTTTTTTCACCGTGGATTTTTTAATCATACATATGGTGATTCAGTAAAATCACAACTGAAACTGATCATATATTATGATGCAACTATCTTTCCAAGTTCCAGCCATGCCTCATGTCAGAGTTTCTATCTTACACTCTTGAAACAGTAGGTCTTGTAATTTGAACTGGTTATTGGAGGTTCAAGGTCTTCAGAAAATCCTCCATTATGTTGGACAGGATTAATCGCCCTTCTCTAGCCATCACACCATATAAACCTTGCAGGTTAATTGTTTCTTTTGCTTGATCATAAAATGAGATTTTGTACTTGAATCCTTCTTGTCTTTTTAGTGCTATACAGTAATGATAATGGTAATTGCTTCTAGGGACAGAGGCAAGAACTCTTCGTTTCATTGAACTTCGAGGTGCCAAAGAAGCAGATATGGTCTCTTTGGGGCCAGCTCCTGTGTTTGCGTAAGTACAGTAACAAATTTGATTATAAGTATACCTCTTATGGAGCCATTATTTTGGAAGAATATAAAAGGTGTCAAGAGAAAGTGGTCCTTTTTTGTTGCTGAGTCCCATTGCAACTCATTCTAATTTCATCTGATTTCTTACTTAGATTCCTACAATTCCTACATTTCTGAATACAGTATTCAGTGTTTTTTATTATCATTATTACAGTATTATCTCCCTACTAAAATAATTGTCGAACAGCTAGTTTGATAAATGGAGTTTTTTGGTATAAACGAATCCAAAAATCTCATCCAGTACTGAACTTTCTTCTGTACAGTTATATTTGACAAAGTTTGGTACACGGGGCTCCCCAAATTTGCTGATTTTTTTTTTGCGGATGACACTGGATGTACCCAAGAATGTCTGTGGGTAGTTTTAAAGTTGCTGGCATTTTCACGGCTGGGACAGGGAGCCATTCATTCTAGAGACAATAATTTCCTTTACCTGTATTGTAAATATGTGTGTGTGTGTGTGTGTGTAGACACACACGGACTTGAGGGTAGCCTCACATTTTTAATAAATTTGTTTCTGATTATTTGTGAGAGTATTTTCCCATAGTATTTATTTGTATGTGTTTTGTGTGTGTGTATATACAGGCAAAAGAAACAATTGTCCTTAGGGCAAAAGGGCAAACACAAAGGGAATATATATTTCTTTGTACACAAATAAAAATGTATCCCCCCCCTCCCCGATCAGCAAATATTATTCACGGATTTGGCGATTCGTGGCCATTTTGAGAACCTAACCCAAAGTAATATATTTCTCTTTTTCAGTGAGATCCTAGAAGAGTTGGCTATGTCAGAGGATGTAACACCTGCTGAGGCACGTAAGAAATGGACCCAGCTTGTTCGGCGCTATCTCGAGCTTAAGGTAACTAAATAAGTGGGTACTATACATATGTTGAACTGAGAGTCTTCTGGATATTTGAGTTTTCCGATTTCCTTATTTAGGTTGCTCCATTATAATTCCCCCACATGAGACTATGTTTAAAAGTGTTTGGGATAAATTATGTCTTCAGTTTCATGGTACACAGCTGTTAAGGAGAGTTTAATACCTTATACAGTATCTTGAATTGAGGCTCTGGTAACAGTATGGTTTAATACCCTGAAGGGTGTCAACTTGCCAGTGGAGTTTAAGGATGTGGTACTTTTATTATATTTGTCCTGAGAACAGAGACCTTTTTATTGGGAAGTAGCATCCTCTCAAGGATTTTAACTTTCAAACTGGCTTTCCATTCTTCATGTGGGACTGGTGAATCCAAAGAACCAAGGACTAAGTAATATTGACCTGCAAAGTAAAGAGTTGATGACCCTGGGAAGGAGTATTAAGCTCTTGTTTCTAGTGGGGAACGGAAGTCCATCACCTTCTGAACTGTTTGGCTTCCAGGGAGGCTAAATCTCAGTTTGGTTGAAGACTGATGTTTCCTCCCTGTGGAACACACTATTTCTGGGTTTTGTTTGTATCCTGCTGAGAATTTAGGGAAGGGAGAATATTCTCCTGTCCTTTGAGGAGTCCACATTACAGAGTATGGTGTGGAGACTGTGGGGTCTGTTACTGAATGATATGAATCCCTAAGGAAACATTTCCATGGTTCTTTAGCATTACAGTAAGTAAAGATAGATTTAATTTCATCCACGGTTTGGGGTCAGGGTGATAAAGCCTGGGCTTGACTCCCTTAACACTCTTGGGATTTTCATATGCAAAATTGCATGTGATCTAAATTAATGCTTTCGGGTTTTCATACACGAATTTGTGTACGAGGTAAAAAATTTAAATTAAATAATTTTATGTTTGTGTATAAATACTAGACATGAAATCAGCATGTTCTGGCAACTATGTAGACAGCACTCCAAGGTCACCACACCAGGCTCCCTTTTGTGTTTAAAGGACCCAGGATATAATATTGACCCACATTTCTCACACATTTTCTTGCAGCTTTTACTGATTTCTCGTGCATCACAATGATTCATTTATTCATAACAGTGTTGTGAGAGTTTTGAACCATGCCTCATGTTGCTGGTGAAGATGGAGGAGTGGGAAAATGTAAAATGTGCAAGGAGACTGTACCATGTGGTGCCTCCTGAGGCCTCTCCCAGTGTCCCTGGCCCTTCTAGTGTAAGTGATAGTTTGTCTGGCCCTTCAACAAGCAGTCCTAGTGCTATGACTCAATTTGTACTATTATCTTTTGCGCCCGGAGAGAAAAAATTCATGATCTGCACTCGGCCTGGGCACACTCATCAGAATGCATAATTTACATCACTATTACCTACCTTATTGCCGGTACACATGAACTCCATCTGGCGGCGGTCACTTTTGACAATGTCACTGAGTTAGGGTATTAAGATTGTGTGTGCATGTAACAGTAAAAAGAAAAGAAGAAGATTACGTGTATCTACCCGAAATTATGAGTTGAAAAAACACAACATGACACCTCACAATTTGGCATGGAGTGGTGGGAGAGAAGGCTATAGTGATGAGTCTTGTGTTACTATCACAAATACAAAACCAATATGAAAACTGAAAAACAAGCAAAACTATAAAGAAACACAAGGAATATTATCACAGACGTAACGTTATGGCCTATACGGTAAGTCAAAAGGCTGAAGCAAACTCACAACTCCCTGTACCTTCTTACCCAGGATTCATAAACCATGCCACCTACCTTTTTATGTTATTTAACAATTGTCTATTGCTGAATGTAATATGTAATTGTAATAACTTTTTTGTCTCAACACTATTCTTGACCGGTTGTGTCCTGGAACAGTAATGTACAGCACTGCACGCAAATTGTACACAAAAACAGCAGCTACCAAGGGAACAACCTTCTACAATGGCAGCAGAATGTTTTCTGGTTGAAATTGGGGGGAGGGGGTGAAGGGGCACAACTGCTAGAATGAACAGTACCTTTAACAAGCAAACTTATATCTTGAGCCCTGCTATTCGGTAGTTCCACGCTGGGTCCCTAGAACAAAGCAATCGTGAAAGTCGCGAGGCCACTGTATTCACTATACAGTAGTTAATTTCGAGAATGCATTTATCCTTAATAGAGAAATTTACTCAAGTTACTGGTTAACCTTCATAATAGTTAGTCAATATTACTGATGAATCTGTAGGATGCCGAGTTGTTTGGAGGCAGCAAGGTTGTGATGTCATTTGCTATTTTTCTTTTATTTTCTGTGCAAATTTCTTAATTTTTTTTACAGTTTTCTCTCTTTTTCCATAGTGTACCAGAACACTGTACATTTCTTAATTGTGTTTATTAAATAAATAAACATTTTAGGCATTCATGATTTTTGGGGCCCCCGGTTCCAAATTCCTCATTTTGTATGGACTTACATGTACTGTACTGTATTATTATATCACACTTTTTTACTTCACAAATGTTCTCAGTCCCTGTCTCACAGTGTAAGCTGAGGCTACTGTCCCTATTTTTTGCAGCAAGAATTACAAGTTATTTTCTAAACCTAGAATATCATAATTTGAAGATCCCTTAAGCTCTTCAGGTGAGGGATGCACGCTCAATATGCAGAAACCATTCCCCTTCTGGATTATTATGTTGAAGAATGGAACATTTTATTGGATGCTCTAGAGTCTCTGGTGGTTTAAATGAGCCTTGAGCTCAGCCTATTGAGGAACTCCAGAGATTGTAATGCCTTAGGCTCCTAGATGGCTTTTGAGACAGCAATATTTGTGGCTGAGGATCCTGTAATTTACATCCTTCTGATTTTCCCTTGAGCTTGCTGCTCTTCCACTCCATGTGTGGGGCAAGAGGTCCACTTGCTATCTTCATTTGCTAAGTTATTCTAATGGTCACCAAACAGCAGGGTTAGGTCCTTGTTGATGCATACGGCAAGAGACAATGGAAATAAGCAAAAGAAGAAACTTATATCCTCACATCTATGGTCTAATTTAAAGCTTTCTTTAAATCCAGTTTTTCTAATACTGTACTGTCTTTGGTAGCATTATTAATGAAGGCCTTTGCCACATGGATTTCTACTTCACAACTTTGGGGATTCTGAACGTTAGTTTATTTAGTGTTAGTAGTGACGCAGCACCCTAGTGGGCACTCCATATATTGTAAGCAATAAAGTGTTTAATTATTAATTCCTTGTTTTAGGGTCCAGATGCTGAAGACTATAAGCCTGGATATGGGAACAGTCCAAACCTCATCTCTGGTGATGTAGAAGGAGGATGGTTGTTTTTTGCCCCCATGCACTCTGTCATGGAAGCTATCAAGGCCACATCCCCAGATGGAGGCACCAAGTCACGCAGGTCTCCTGAGTACACATGTGAGTTTTTGTTCTTTCACCCCACTTGTGTATGGGGTGGTGGCTAAGCATTTGTTTTAAATTTCTGTTTATGTAATGGGATGATGAATCAAATTCTCCCTCCATTTGTTAGAATCTGGAAACAATGAAAAAGGAAAATTTACTAATGAGCAATTTAGACAGGTTTGGAAGCCCAATGTAGAGTTTAAATGTTGTCAGTATTGTCTTATTTATGGAGTAAAGAAATTTTCTGTTCATGTTTCCATAATTACAAGTGTTTTGGTAAGAGCAGGTAAATATTGAACTGTATGTGAAAGAAGTTAGCAAATGTATGAGGGTAATGCACTGAACCTTTGTTAATTTGAGATCATTGAGCCATCATGTGTCATTCAAAAGTAATAAACAACACTGCTAGGAAGGTATCTCCATAGCAAATACTACACAGTATGTTATAATAACCCTCTTGTAAGCTGATTTGCTGAAAGCCCTCACAAGAATGCATCCTGAGTGAATACCTTCTGATACAGCTTATCCTCTTATTTTCAAGTTAAATTACAAATTATACACTAATTTTGTCTTCCATTACTGAAATAGTTATATTAATCATGATGAATCATACACCACAAGAGGCTGATCACTTGAGAAAACAATACTTAATCAATAAATAAACCTGACAAATGTGACAGCACCCAATCAGCCCATGCCACACAACCCCTAGCCTGCTTACATACTCAGTCTTAGCTCTCGTTAGGCTTACAGAAAATCTGAGTAGACCATTCTGCAGTATTCAGTGAACAAGTGTTGTTCTTTTCAGAAGATTTATATTAATTTTACCCATTTCTTATAACTTAAGTATGCCAGTTAACTCTTAAAAGCCAGGGCAACTTAAGTCCCACTGACACCCCCCCCTCCCCCAAGGGATTTTTTTTTAATCCATTGTCATCTGTAGTAGGTAGTGGGCAGCTATCAAACAGGGAGGTACTACCACCTGGGAAGATATTGGAAGCATAATGTGTTGTCTAATGGTAGACCCTGCTGCCATATGGCATCACGAAAATTGTGACCAAGTCTCAGGTTGCTGATCTGACTCTGCCTCATTTACACACAATTGCAGGGTTTCAATTGTTTCTCTTACTTTGACAACACATCATACATACTGTATATCATTTCATGGTTTATTATTATTAATATTATTATTATTATTATTATTATTATTATTATTATTATTATTATTATTATTATTATTATTATTATTATTATTATTATTATTATTATTATTATTATTATTATTATATTTTCACCCCCCCAGGGCCCGAAGGGTCAGTGACCTGTGCCCCGATGGGCTAATCCCCGAAGAAACAACAACTTATAAATGGGTTAATCAGTATAAGAAGAAAACCAGAAGAATGTACTGTACTTGCATTCAACTTTATATTGTAGCATGGTTGGAGAGTGTCTGGAGTGTTGATGATCATTGTGGAGTGATGAAAGATGTTTTGTTTGGGGCTGCTGCCTCACAGTCCAAAGCATACAACACACAATTCTTACTTGAAGGCTCTTTTATATCATATTTCTATCTTATAGGTACTACAAAACACAAAATATTTTTATTTTCTTCAAAAGCCCTATAAAATACTGAACAGAAGTCGAAGGACATCATCCATCATGATAGTTGGCGGGTAACTGACCACGAGGCATGAGTCTTAAAACAAAGATTATACATGAGTTGAGTTGCCAATGATATAAATAACCAATACAAATTATTTTGTCCTGCCTGGACTTACAAAATATGCAGCAAATATTAAGAATGTTGTGGAACGTCAGAACTTTATGTGAGTGTAGCTAGCGAGGTATTGCCGAATGATACCGACACACACATGAATCAAATAGTTTCCATATAATAATGTATTGCTTTATATTGTTAAAATATATATGCCATGCATGAATCTATATCTATATACGACTGCAAGGGATGACTTGAAGTGAGATCCATGAGAAACTAGTTTAATCCCAACTAATTTCTGCTACTGTGATGCTGCCACATCTTTACTGGGAATATTACAGGGATATAGAAGCACCTTTCCCTGAGTGTCTCTCTATGGGAACTTGCCATAATGGTACACACACACACCTGCGCACACATTTACCATTCTTGAATACAGTTTGCAGAAATAATTGGTTCCAAGAGGTTTTGGGATTGAGATATTTCCATGTATGGAGAAAAATTTCTCATTCATGGAAAAAAATCACACACACCAGAATTTTTCCAGGTACCCTGTACTGAGGAAAGTTTTCCATGAGTCTAAACTACACATCTTGCACGGATCGACTCAGAGCTATAATTATATATATATTTTTTTTTTACGGTCATTAACCCACTCAGGTACAGGTCATTTTTAATGACCCACATCAAGGCCTTGGGGGTGAAAGTATAATAAAACAACAATAATAATAATAATAATAATGATAATAATAATAATAATAATAATAATAATAATAATAATAATAATAATAATAACCACTGTACTCATACAATATATTGTAAACAAACAAAATATGCTACTTCATACTGTACACTATATTTTACTGTACTCACCAGCAGATGATGTCATTTTGAGCTTGTGATGCAGGCAGGCCAAATGGTGATATGATGATACAGGATGGCTTGCCTGTGTCCTGTACCAGGTGTTACTGTCACTCTCCTCTCCCTCCATGAAGGATTTTACTCACATTGTATACTGTACACACACCTTCTACATGTATTAACACTTCTTGGCTGATTATATACTGGTACAGTACTGCATAACACAGATTGTATGCAAAAACAGCAGTGAGCGAGCGAACAAATTTGTACAGTGGCAGCAAACAATGAACTAAGAATGTTGTGATGCAAGAGTTTGTGTAGATAGGCTTTGAGATACATCAGCCATTCATAGGCATCCCATGCAGTCACACGATAGTAGTGGCCAGTCGTAGCTCACGACCACAGAACCTACCCAGCCACGCACCTTGCATGAGTCCCTATGTCAGAAACATGATGCTATATCTCAGAATTTCTTTTGAATCCCCAGAATAAATAGATTTTCTCAGAATGTTCTGGAAATGCTCATGATGCAATTCTCAAGAATTCGTTCAGATACACGGAATGGAGAGATTTTTACTGGAATTTCTCAGAATGCTCCAAAAAAATTCCCGCCATTGCAGAATTTCGGGGATCGAAGATTCCGGCCAGCAGAAAGATTACCATATATCTGTCACAGACGTTTTAAATACAGTACTGTACAGTTTATATACTGTACTAACATATTAAAGTTTATACATTATTATCATATGGGAAGTCAAGAGTAGGTTTTATAAGTTCAATGTCTTTCTCTCCTAAAGGGTCTGTTGATGTGACACGGAAATTTATCAAGATCCGAGGAGAGAAACATGCAGAGATATCCCAAAAAGGCCACAATGCAGTCTACCAGTAAGTGGTATATGCAGTAGACGTACAATCAGTTTTTTGTATATTGTACAGTGCAGTATAGAAAACTATATTGTCTTTTTGTTTTACTCTCAGACTTAAACAATTTTGGAGTGTGTACAAACTTGTTTATGTTCATATGAAATAATTTCTTCTTCTGCAATTTTCTCTTCAAGTTGTTTGTGTGGTTTTTATCCTTTAAACTCTCATGGTTTTATATAGTAGAAGCACAGCTTTTAACAGGCATGACATTTCTTAATAACAACACATTGTGACTGCCTTACTTATATATTTTCTGTGCTGAAATCTTCTGTAATTGTTGTGATTGTTTCTGCTGAGACAATTTTCTTCTAATCACAATTATTCCATTTTCAACAAATTCTTGTATCTTCACTTTTTCCCCATAAACCTTTTCATATCACACTACAGTACAGTATATGGTGGGTGGAATCAAGGACAAAAAATACTCTTTTCAACTGCTGTCATCCTTTCATTTCAACTGCTGTCACACCCAGTTGTAAATAGCTCCCTAAGGTTACAACTTGGAGAAGTGTATGCATTTGAGTGCATTACCAGTCATGCTGACTCCTTGTGTACCAAAGGCTGTATCCACACTGTCTCTAATGAGACCCACTTTCACTTTCATAGGCTATATATACAATCTTTTTATATATCTGTCAATATTTATGTGTCTATTTGCCAATCTATATGTGTGTGTATGCTTCCTCCCTCTCTCACTCTAACAAAATTACATTAGGCTTACCTATGATTAGGTTCTTATATATTCCTAGCTTATCTGAAAAAAACAACATTATTTACTCACATTCTCCAATGAAGCTTCCAGCTTTAGGAATTAGAGATGGGGAATATTGGCTAGAGGAAGTGTGTGTGCGTGCACGCGTGCGTAACAGAGAGAGAGAGAGAGAGAGAGAGAGTCTGCTCAGAATGGTACTGATCTAAGCACTTGCCAACACACAAAGGCACATCATTGACATTGCACATGTGGCTTGTGTCCTTTCCTTGCCTTGCATAACACAGTTGACACCAAAGTTGTTCTCTGTCTTGTATCTAGTCTCTTCCGTGGCCTAGTGAGGCATTGAGGCAGCATTCTTTATAAAAAAAAATTTTGCATTTTGCCTGCCACCTGCCCCCAAGTCCTTGCCTCCATACTCTGGCAGTAGGCTGTTGTTGAAATCTTAATATGCATGAGAGGAGTTAATGGGCCCGACACGGTGGACCAGCTCAGCTGAAGGGAAGAGACTGATGGACAGATGACTCGCCCTTATCTTCACCCACGTGTTCGTACTTTCTGGGAGCTTGCCTCATGGGATCATGCAATCATCTATGACGCACGAAAATTTGACGCAATTATCTTGAGAACTTATTTCTTGGTGATTATTTTTAAAGTTTAATGACATGATTAGCATAACCAATGCAAAAATAGTACCCAATGATTTGACACAATTTGCGTCATGATACACGAGAAGTTTATCTGTTTAATTTTGAGTGAAGAATGGAGATCTTTCTTCAAATCTTTTGCAGTATTTAAAGGGTGACAATGGCTGGAGTTTGAGATTTCTAAAGGTTGGAGACACAGGTAATCAATGCACTATCTTTATTTATGGGATGATGCAATACCTTCTGGGATGACACTACAGCTCCTCTTTATGCAGATCTTCTCTAATAAATAATGTACACACGCTCCAAAAGGTATCTTTATGGAGGAGTCCGATGAATTTTTAAATTAATACGACTCCTGTCCCGTTGTATCGGTAGGATTGTCAAAATCCTCCATGCTTTGTGTCTCACAGATAATCATAAAGATACTTTATGGAGCACGTGTACACAAGGTTGTTCCTAGTTTCCAGTGGTGCATGGTCCTTCTATACAAGTTTATTTCTGAATGGTTGGCTTTATGGGAGTGGTTGATTTTGTCAACTCAAGAAATATTTTTTTATTTTGTACAAGATTTTCTGTTTTAGACTGCCTTTCCCTGAAATCTTTCCTTTTTCCTTGGTTTTGGTATATCATTGACTATGAATATACTGTACAGTATAACTTACAATGTAATTTTATTTTTCTCAGAGACATCTTGGAAAAGCTTGGAATCACTGATAAGGTCAGCGTGATGATGGCCCGCAAGAAATGGAACTACTTGGTCAAGAGATTTCAGGTTAGAATCATGATAGTATACTAACTTAAGAGTAACTATGGAAGTCTTATTGTGGTAGCTTCAGTCTAATTTGAATTAAGGAAGCAACAGTCTGACAGTAATAGAGTATTCATTCTATTTATTCTTTTGCCCTGTGTTAATGGAACTGAACAGATACACCTGATGTTGAATAAAAAGAAATTTCAAGTTTTCTTCACAGTAGTGTGCATGAATGAGGTGAAAGCATGGTGTCAAGTGATACTTGGAGAAATATGTGCTGCTGATACTGGGTTTGGTAAAGTGACCGGTAAACCAGTTGGATATTTTGGGCTGATAGGCAGATAGTACACATCAGTTGTGGCATGGCATGGCTTGGCTATGTGAGGGAAAAGTGGCACAAAACACACTACAGGTATCACGTGCTTGACCCCATAAGGGTGAATTTTTCTCACATATTAGGAGTTTCTGGGAGAAATGGGCTCCTCATATATACTGTACAGTACGGTACATGAAATTGTGTATGTAGAACTCACATGTGTTGAGGACCTCTTGTATAGCCTTTGCAGTGGCATTCATATGACTTTCCCACACCACTCCCTGATCAGGTGGTGTGTTCTGTAGATTTTTATATATATTTTTATATACAGTATGCTGTATATACATGCCTGTAGAGGTTCCTTGGGTAGATACTGTACATATAAAATTAAAAAAAAAAAAATTCTGAAAGCCTATCAGTCCCTAGCACTTCAGATAACTGGTAGTGTACAGTCATGCCACATCTTATGCATATTTAACTTACACTCGTTCAACTTTATGTGCTTGGCTGGGGGGGGGGGGTTGTAGGAGCGTATGGCTGGGGGAGATGACAGCATATAAAACACACGGCCATATAAGAGGCACCTCCCCCCCCTTATTTTAGCAGGGAGTATTTAGGAAAAACTTTTATGTATATTTTTCTCCTGTAGTCATAGTTTTCTTAAAATAATATATATACTACCAGTAAATGTGAGGAATAAATAAAAATAAGTAATAACTCCGAACATATTTAATAATCTTGATAAAATTAAAGTTAAGTACATTGGTACATGGGTTTCAGGTGTCAACACCTCGTTTGTTTCAAGACGCAAGGGAAGATTTCTTGTCGTTTCTTAATTCTGAAATGTCATTCAATATCAGGTCATCCAGAAGACTGTGAGACATTGCTCTTTGCATTGATCATAGGCTCAACAGATGAGTTCCTTCGTTCATGTCATCAGTGAAATGCCTGGCACCCCCCAGTGGTTTCCATGTAATATTTTGCTAGCTTCTTTTTTTTTTAATATTTAACTTATTTTCTGAAGGACTGAGAACACAAGGCATTCATTTTGTAATGCCTGGCCAGAGAAGAGCCTTAACCTTACGAGTATTCTAAAAAAAATGAAACAATTAAACGTCAATCAAGGCAAGGCCATCACCATCTGGTCACCACATGATTTGCGTCTCTACCGTGACGTCATTGAATGCAGCAGAGCTAAAGTTTATGACATTACAGCGGTCTGTCCTTAATGTTTTTAGTCCTTGTACACACTCACCATGGTTGCCTCCACACGTCTTTGAGTCGTCTGAGCTGGGGATTGCCTGAACTATGTTGTGAGCTGGATGCTTGGGAGGTATGGCTGTAGAAGAACTTATTCTTTGTACATAAATTAATATGTACTCTGCCAGTAAATGTGATGATTAAAGAAAAAGAGGAAAAAAATACTGCATTGCCGTTTAGCAGGAGATGGTGAGAGAGCGGAGCAGTGAGTGAAGAAACGCCAGTTGTAGTTCTCTTCATCCCACTCTCGCTGCTTACTTCTACATGCACAATGATTAATTCCCTTTATGTTTTTGACCTTATGATAATAAATTTATTATTTTATTGGATCATACTATGTGTGGCACACATTTAAACTGAAATAGGCCTAACCAGCCAAGCTGCCAGATGTGCTGTTCACAGGTATATATAATCATGTACTTTATGGATGGTTTAAGGGATTTTCAAGGGTAATTTTGTCTATACGCATTTTTGCCTTCGTGCACCATCTTTTGAATGTAACCCCCGTGTAAGATGCGACTCAACTGTACTCAAGTGTAAAATGTTTGCAGGGTAGTGAAGACAATAGGTTGATGCTGCCTGTTAGATCATTAGGAATTGTCCAAGGTATCTTGAAATATTTGAGCTGATCAGATTGAATTGTACAGTTATCATGAAGCGATCATTATGTTTGTCCATTGCAAATGCTGGCTTCTGTAAAACCTAACTTGCAAGTGAATGATTTACTTTTTAACAATTCTTATTCCTTGTGGTGTTTCCAAAGAGCATTCTAGCAAAAAATGATGCCATAAAAGACGTCACCATCACGATTATCAAGGTGTGCCTAATTCCTTTGGAGTGTGATGGTGGACAAACATATCATAGGTTTGCAATCCCTGCATAAGTGTTCCACTTATTTCACCCACAGTCCCCCATGCTATACTGTACAGCATAAGTACAAATACACCATGTGCACAGCTCCACCATTGAAGCTGTAATGTTATACTCATTACTGGATATTATTATTGGTACTTATAATTTGTGATACTGCAAGGTATGATTTGTTTAAGTTTTTAGTTTACTCATTAATACATACTGTATTACTTTTATTACAATATGCATACCTTATACATTTCTAGGATGAAGAGATGGCAGGGGGAGAGCGCACCTGGGCATTCATGAAGGAGATGGGACAAGTAATGAAGCATTTTCGTGGTGCTAATGTCAACAAGCTAAAATCTCGAGCATCACCTGAATTTTTATGTAAGTAAGGTCAACTGCAGTAACTTTTTCTTTCTCACTCAGCTTTCCCAAATAAAAAATATTTGCAACTTCTTTTTTTATTGTATAATGAAATATAACAAAAGGAAGTTGTATATTCTGTTCCAAGACTGCAATTATCTCACTCATAAACTGTGACTCAGATTCTTAATTATTGGTGTATTATCACCCCCTTCCCGCCCAACCCCTCATCCCACTCATTTATGGATAAAACATTATACCCGTAGTACAGTAAACTCTTGAGTGCAATTTTAATGCCTTTTGGCCAACTTCTCTGTTTACCTTACTATGCTGAAGGAACACAATTAGATGTACGTAATGTATTTTTACAATATCCTCTTGATGGAGAAATATAAACATACTAACCCGTGATAGTCTGCCCCCAGTTACAATGACTGCCTAATTACTTTTTCTTATTTGTCAGGGCCTAATGAACTAACCAGAAGATTCATTGAACTACGGGTTGCCCGACATTCAGATTTTCTTGAAACGGGAATTCAGACCACGTATACGTAAGTTTTATTAAGTGTTTATTCTTATATAAATAATTGTTTCATATACCGGTATGTACTGTACAGGGAGTCCTCATTGTTCATTGGGGATGTGTTCCTGATGACCACGACTAACAATGACAGAATGAATAATGGGGCTGACTAACCCATTGACTTACATGTTAGTATACATAGATAATATATTATGTCCACATAATAATACTTATTATTCTTATAATAATACTGTATATTATAAAATGCATTAATATACAGTACAGGTATTACTGTACAACTGACACCATCAGGTATAAAGTTGGGTGAACCGAGTTGTGGAGGAGCCACATATTAATGGAATTATACAGTGTATCTTTTGCATTTATTTTTCTCTTTCAATCACTGGGAAGCCATTCCACATTATAGTACAGGATGGCTAGAATCAAGAACAATATGCAACTTCTCTCTGGTGTTAATTCTTTTTAACTTCCTTGCCAGATATGTTCTGTTATGATATTCACCATCTACAATAATGCCTCAAGTTTATGCCAATTATTTGTACACAAAATTTCATTAGCATGTCCATCCTCAAATATCCCTCAGTTCCAGCTTATATTATTAATTTATATAATTTTCTCTACAGAGAGATTATGGAGGAGCTGGGGCTGGAGCATATTCTGAACCCCAACCAGCTTAGGAAGAAGTGGAATTACCTTGTTGCTAAGTACAAGGTAAGAAAGGAAATACAGAAAAGCAAAAATTATAGGATGACAAAGCTTTTGTCTCATTCTTTCCTGTTCTGTCTGCACTGTACTAGATGAAGGAGATTTAGCTTTAAATTCTGAGGAATTACATTATCAACTCTGTGTGTAACAAATTTCTCTCAGGCTTCTTCAATGTTCTTCTATGTTTAGTGATGAACCTGTTTGAATCCTTCAGAGGATTTTAAATCTGGCTGAGCAGAATTAGGTTGTACAGTGGGACCAATATGTTCTAATCCTTCCAAAATCTGCACCTCAGTGGGTTTATTCCCAGTTTGTGGATTGCTTCAATGCCTTATAATTCAGTACTGCATCCATTAACACTCATATGCACTGCTTCATTTATAACAACTACCCCTCCAAAACATTGGGCTAGATGTGACCTTCTTGCTAAAAAGAGCGACGCTGGATAGATATTTTGGCAACTGGTTCTTTTTTCTTTTCTTTTTTCGTACAAAACCAACTACCCATGAGTCAAGTCCAAGGGTGAGATTCCTACAATACAAAAGCTGAGAAGAGACTGGAAGACTATCATTCTGCCAAATTCTAAAATAGATATGCTAGGCCTCACTGTGCCCGGGTGGGCTATTCTCCGTAATAAAAAAGAAAAAGTGTGAATGAAAGATAAATACCTATTTGGTAACATAATCTACCCAGACCCACCCTTTTTATTTAGATAGGCCCATGGAAGATCAGAACATCAAATGATGTGACCCGAAGCCTAAGGGTTAATCCTGTACCGTATATACTGCACTCCTAGAGTGTGTAGCCAAATCAGAATTTGACTCTCCAGCCTCCAATCATAAATGATGACTGAGGCTTCAAAATCCACCTCCTGGGGCTTCTTCTTGTACTGCACTTAGGAAAGATTTACTAATTTGGAAATATATTATATCTTAGTTACCTATTTGAGACTTTGTTTTAATTCAGTACTAGTCACACATTGTGGGCAGGGCCTACAAATAGAGTTAAACTATGGTGACTTGTTGGTAAAGTGAGTACACATATGTCTAGCGATTAATTATATTGCATTATAATTATTAAATTATCATGGAAATAAAGATCTTGTTCCTGGAATGATTTGAACTAGCTTAGACATAATTTGCATCAGTCAGTTTGGTTAGCAGCTGGTTCATAATGAAAACTTTATGATACCAACTACTGTACTTCTGCCCTTTAAATGCATGCTTTAATATTATTTGTAGGAACTGTACTGTACCACTGGGCCAGATGGCACGAGTCCTGCACCTCACTCGTGGCCATTTTTTGATGATATGCACCGAGCCCTTCAACAGATTCCAGAGAGTGCCATACATGGAAGTCGAGCGGTTAGAACTAATACTGAAAATACCTGTAAGTGAACAAACTTAGTTATGCTTACTAGTAGGGAGGGAAGAAATTTAGAAGACAAATGTCTGATATCCAAGTCTCATTTCAATAATTCATGAAAATTTTATTTCTTTGGTCTTTGTAACATGTTCTGTTTGTCTCTCCTTGTTTTAGATATGGAATTTTAACTTGCAGGATCTAGATAGCCCAAGTAATGTAAACCACCTGATTAGACTCTTATTTAATGTTCTTATTCATTCATATTCATACATTTATTTATAAAAATCAGTAACATATACAGTAATCCCTTGCCAAATGTATGGGTTACATTTTACAGTTTTCCTGTGATTGTCAAGGGCTGGGTGTACAGGGGGGAAATAAGATGTTAGGGGAAGTGAACCCTGAGAGATATACCAAAAGTCCTATAATGTGCAGCTCATGGTAAGGTGTAAACTGCACCTTATACTTACCTGCATGTCTCACTTCACACTCACAAATACAGAGCAAAAATATTACTGTAATGTACAGTATTAACCTGTAGTGTACATAACTATATGAAAAAACCAGGGATGACAACGTAAGTGCAATGATATCGGCCAACACAGATCACATGTTCGCAAACACAGAAGCAAAGCACTTAGTCACAAAACACCAGAAAATATCACTTCACAGTCACTATAACACAGTTCAGTCTAAATGTTAGTGCTGTCCTATCACAATACTGTATAAGAAGAAAAAAAGATGATAAGTACAATGTATGATGCTGACCCATAATCGTGGAGCCGTGTGATGGCGGGGTTATGATCGACAAGGAACCAAGCTCGGCTGTAGTGTCTGGTGGCGCGTGGGTAAGGCTGACAAGTGAAGGGGGAGATGCATGGTGCATAGGGTTAAATATTGTTTCCTTATAAAATGTCACTGACTTGATGTAGAAAAATATAATTTGTGTTGCTGGAATCTTTGCAAGACAACGATTAATTTGAGTATCTACAACCCATAGTTTGCACTGGAGATAAAAAAATTCTAACCAATGAATATCGATGGATATCATTAAAGCAAATTTTTTTTATTATATATATATAGTGAGATGGTCTTAATTCATGACCATTGTTAAAGCGGAATATCTCTGAATGAGGCATCGTTTATCGAGCTTTACCTGTACTGAAAAACTTCCTGTGCCAAACTGGCTTCTCGCCAATTATTTCGATACACAGTACTCAAAACCACGTTAGGTATACCTGTGGTTTATCTATTCTCTTTAATATGAGGTAGAGTTTAAGATGATTAATAGATTTACTGAACTGACCCAAAATAAATTATTTTCATCAGTTACTGTATATGTAACAGTATTATCTCTATAACCAGGGACAAGAGAAGTAACCATAAGATTTATTCAGCTTCGTGGTGCCAGGCCTCCTGACAACACAAAGAAGGTGTCTTCTGTATTTGCGTAAGTCTCTCTCTCTCTCTCTCTCTCTCTCTCTCTCTCTCTCTCTCTCTCTCTCTCTCTCTCTCTCTCTCTCTCTCTCTCTCTCTCTCTCTCTCTCTCTCTCTCTCTCTCTCTCTCTCTCTCTCTCTCTCTCTCTCTCTCTCTCTCTCTCTCTCTCTCTCTCTCTCTCTCTCTCTCTCTCTCTCTCTCTCTCTCTCTCTCTCTCTCTCTCTCTCTCTCTCTCTCTCTCTCTCTCTCTCTCTCTCTCTCTCTCTCTCTCTCTCTCTCTCTCTCTCTCTCTCTCTCTCTCTCTCTCTCTCTCTCTCTCTCTCTCTCTCTCTCTCTCTCTCTCTCTCTCTCTCTCTCTCTCTCTCTCTCTCTCTCTCTCTCTCTCTCTCTCTCTCTCTCTCTCTCTCTCTCTCTCTCTCTCTCTCTCTCTCTCTCTCTCTCTCTCTCTCTCTCTCTCTCTCTCTCTCTCTCTCTCTCTCTCTCTCTCTCTCTCTCTCTCTCTCTCTCTCTCTCTCTCTCTCTCTCTCTCTCTCTCTCTCTCTCTCTCTCTCTCTCTCTCTCTCTCTCTCTCTCTCTCTCTCTCTCTCTCTCTCTCTCTCTCTCTCTCTCTCTCTCTCTCTCTCTCTCTCTCTCTCTCTCTCTCTCTCTCTCTCTCTCTCTCTCTCTCTCTCTCTCTCTCTCTCTCTCTCTCTCTCTCTCTCTCTCTCTCTCTCTCTCTCTCTCTCTCTCTCTCTCTCTCTCTCTCTCTCTCTCTCTCTCTCTCTCTCTCTCTCTCTCTCTCTCTCTCTCTCTCTCTCTCTCTCTCTCTCTCTCTCTCTCTCTCTCTCTCTCTCTCTCTCTCTCTCTCTCTCTCTCTCTCTCTCTCTCTCTCCTCTCTCTCTCTCTCTCTCTCTCTCTCTCTCTCTCTCTCTCTCTCTCTCTCTCTCTCTCTCTCTCTCTCTCTCTCTCTCTCTCTCTCTCTCTCTCTCTCTCTCTCTCTCTCTCTCTCTCTCTCTCTCTCTCTCTCTCTCTCTCTCTCTCTCTCTCTCTCTCTCTCTCTCTCTCTCTCTCTCTCTCTCTCTCTCTCAATAAATTGCACATTGATGAATAATATGATAAATTTGCTATGAAAACATTGTATTAATTGTAAATTCCTTGGATATTTAAATTATACAAACAATTATTTCATTGTGTGCTTTTCCCTAATGATACTTTTCTTTTTTCAGAAATATAGTGGATGAATTAGGATTAACAGGTGTGATTACACCTAATCAGGCTCGGAAAAAGTGGAACTACTTGTGGAGCAAGTATATTGTAAGTCATATGAAGGAAGTAAACTTTTGCCAAACATGAGTGTGACATAGCTGTGTTGACACTATATTGAATGCTGTTCTTTCCATAAGAGATTAATTGGAGTTGATTGTCACCCATACTAGGACCTGAGCCATCCTGATATCAACGAATACACGCGTCAGTCATGGCCATTTTATACTACCATGCAAGCTGTGGTTGGTGCGCTGCCTCTGTCCCAGGTCCTCACAAAGAAAGGTACAGTTTTATTTTGCAGTGTATCATTATATTATTTATTAATTTCACTTTAAGTAAAGGTAATATATTGAATGACATTAAAAAATCTTGTAATTATTATAATGTACTAATTTTAGGCATTGCTAGTTTCATTTTAATATATTTGGTGTCAATGACCATAGTTTTTATGGTGCCAGGAGATATTAAAAATCAATTAGTCGGTCATTAAAGAATTTAAGAAATTATAATATTTTGTAAACTGAGAGTTCTATTCTTTGGCACATACATACTTCACGTGTCCTTTCAGTAATAGTGCATCCCAAATCCTTGTATCCTTCCTTTATTTTCCTGCTTTATTGCTCATACTTCTTTATACTTCAAAGTAAAATTTTTGAAGTTATTTATAAGCATGTAATTTATTGTAGGTAGGTGGGTAGTTTTTTTATTAACTCAGGAAGTTGCTACCTTGTTTTGCCAGCTGTTCCCACACTGTGGGTTGGCATTAGGAAGAGCATCCAACCATAAAACTTTCCAGCAAAATGCATGATGGCAGCTGGGTCACCAGAGTTATGTCCATCCCCTAGTTTCTGCTGCATATCTTGGGCTGGCACCCTGGGTTTGTGATGGTGAGTGGAGGGGAGAGGGGTGACATCCCATTGTGGTTTTACCTAACAGCTGCCATGAAGTGCAGATAATGGGTGTAAAATGTTGTTGATGACTGTACTGAGAAAAATTTAAGACAGTTTTAGGTGAAGTAGAATTCCATATGTTGTCCCAGTCAAGGCAGGAACTGTAAATGCTGGAGAAAATGTATCTAACTTAAGTCCAGGGGAGTAGAGCTAATTTAAATCTAACAATTCTTGGAAATTCTATGACAGACAATACAGTACTTGCATTCCTAATTTTCCAACTAATATTCTCAATTTTACAGTGTGTACAGTATTGTACTTCCTCCCAGGTAGGGCAAAGAAATATATGATTGAAATTAAAAACTGTTCTGAAGATGCCAGTTTCCCTGCACTAAATGCTATAAACAAAGGAATGCAACTTGGCAGCACTAGTGATGGATGCTTATGAGATTTGTACATGATTTAAAATGAAATTCTGTTATGATTTATCCAGCTTATCTTTTTTGATGGGGATATGAGTAAAATCTGTACAGTACAGTATTTAGAAAAAAGGGTAATTACAAAAAACAAAACAAAAAACGACTCCCTTTACATCTTCCCAGATAATGACTATAAGTACAACATACCAGTGGGTTGATTACTTTGAAGTTGAGGTTCATTATTCTCTTCACTTCACAGAAACTACAGAAGAGCTTGTGCTATGCCCTTAGTATTGTAGTGATTGTGGTTATTAACGTTGTCATCCTTTGTCCCAGTTATAATTCAGCAGCTTCTAACCCAATTCATTTTATATGTAGTAGACCAGCTACATTATGTTCACACAACATTTATTATAATCTAATGGCAGTTATAATAAACCTCACTGTTTGTGTATCTGTATCATTTCAGTATGTATATGATTATTCTGTATTGAGAGACTGCAGCAGTAGAGTTTATTTTAATGAAATAAGAGTTCAGTCTGTCCAGTAAACCCTCAATTTATGTTCTTCTACCCTCTATTACACAGTTAGTTACTTGTGACTATTTTTGATATGCAGTATAAACTCACTTATATAATGTTCAGCAAGGTAACCTCATGGGCCTAAAATATTTGATTCTTGCCAAGTGTCTCCCCCCTCCCCCTCAACTGCTTCTGTCTCCATATCTTAATGTGCATATATACAGTCCCAAAAAGTATCGTTAGCAATGTTACTCGACCGGTTTCTGAACGGTTGGTAGTTCTACGTCTGCGACCTTTGAGCACGAATGATGTAAAAAAGTGCATAAATATGCATCTAAACCCCTGAAATAAAGAATATCATTAATACTTGTAATAAAAAAACAATAAATTAGTAAAAAAAAAAAAAATGTTCGTTGTAGGAGTTTCGTTCGTTATAGCATTCTCAATTTTATAGGAAAAACCGTTCGTTATAGGAATATTCGTAGTAGAATCCGTTCGTTATAGCATACCCCACTATTACGTGACTCGGGATGTTTGTCGTAAATGAACATATGCCAATAATCAACGCGATCTTACATCGAATGGAGCCAGTAATTATAGAGGAGACATCACAAGATGTGAGATGTGCTATCATTGCCCTTCACAACAAGGGTATACATAACACTGAGATAGCACCGGTGATCTGAGGTGAGCGAACCAACATTATCACGATGGGTTATGCCCCATGAAACAACTGGTGCCACACTGAAACTTACACTCACAAATGTCTTACTATAGGTGGGCGAGGGGGTTCTGTTGCCTCCAATTCCCTTGATTTTAAAACTTTAGGAAACCAACTAAGGCAAGATGGTAAAACAAATATTTTAAATTATCGAAAAATTTGAAAAAAAAATTCTCGGAGCTTTGTGCACCCTTCCAATAGCCACTCCCATAATATGAAAGTTATTTATGGAAATTTTCAAGCTCAACCTATCAGGATAAAACTGCTAATGGATGAGACAAGGGTTCCTCATATATTGTGCCCGGTTAAGATTCTTCAAGAATGGTTAACCAGATTCCCTAATCGAGGCCCCTGTATACTGTATTCTCATCACAAGATGGTAAGAAATTGTCTCCTAGTCAAATGACAAAATAATTTTCTCAGTGAGTCAAGCAGACCCTTAAAAAAAAAAAAATGGCACATGACACCAGGAAATATGCAGGGTCTGTGGCCTTTCCTTCGGCATACGAGTCTCAGTCAGATCAAAGAAGTGGGCTTTTGGAAATCTTCAAAAACCTTTCAAAACAGCTATCTTCATCTATCTATGAAAGATGCTTCACATGTGGTGGTACTGGGGTCCCCTCCCCCACCTAGTCAATCTCCACAACCAGGACCTTCTTCTTCCTCATCAGAATAAAGTGAGTATCCTAATTGGGATATGTAAATTAACATTTTACCTTCTGGAAAATGTTCCTATTATTGGAAAATATTTCAAAAAGTTTAAAATTATAATCTGGGCCTAAGCTAGCGGAGCCTTATACGCATTGTCACCTCCCTCTCCACGTCTTTTTTTTTTTTTTAAAAACCAGTTTTTGTATATAGTCCAGAATGCGACGTCGACATCCCACTCATCTCCACCCCTTGAGAGTTGACATTTGTTTACTGCTCGCTCTAGGGCAAGAGATGACGGTAGCAACGTGTGTGATGGGGGGTGCGGGAGGGAGTTTTGAGAATTGCAATTAAATGCCAGGTAGCGACGTGTCCTAATATTAAGTTTTTAAGTAATTATTAGATGTTTTAATTGCCTGTATGTTGGCCTGGCGAGTTAATGCTAGGCATTTACATACCTAGGTATAAAGCTAAACGTTGCATTCTGGACTATATCACAAAAACTGGTTTTTAGATTTTTTATTTTTTTATTTTTTTACGGGATTAGCCCACCCGGGTACAGGTCACTGACCCACATTGGGGCCTGGGGGACGAAAATGTAATAATAATAATAATAATAATAATAATAATAATAATAATAATAATAATAATAATAATAATACACAATTAAAAAATAATAATAATACAGTAATATTAATAATAATAATAATAAAAATACAATTAAAAAATAATAATAGGACACCTTTTCACATGTCCGTTGAGACATTGTTACATAACTATTTGACAAATTTCATAACCGAATGACAGAACACATATCGAATGACAATCTAAAATAACTGTTCGTTCATGCTAACGGAAGTGATTGACATAAGTTATGAAGTTGACAGACGTGAACAATAAACCGACAGTCTACATACAGTATAGTTTGAGAATGTAACAATTGGAGAATGACGTACCACTGACAGTTATTTTAGATTGTCATTCGATATGTGTTCTGTCATTCGGTTATGAAATTTGTCAAATAGTTATGTAACAATGTCTCAACGGATATGTGAAAAGGTGTAATACAGTAATATCAATAATAATAATAATAATAATAATAATAATAATAATAATAATAATAATAATAATAATGCAAAATTAAAAATTAAAAATTAAGTAATAACAAAATAATGATACAGGTAACAATAATAATAACACTAATATTAATAACAAAGAACTAAAGAAATACAAAAAATAAAACAAAATATAAATCAATAGTGAGAAACAATATATGTATGTTGTGTTGTCAATGGTAAGAGAGACAATTGAGACCCTGCAATTGTGTGTAAATGAGGCAGAAAGTCAGACCAGCAACCTGGGACTTGGTCACAATTTTTGTGATGCCAAATAGCAGCAGGGTTTACCATTAGACAACAAATTATGCTTCCAATATTTTCACAGGTGGTAGTACCTCCCTGTTTGGTAGCTGCCTATTACTATATTTCAGTGTTTTTGTATCTCTCAGTCAATGGCTTGTTTACATATGCCTTGCTTCTACCCAGCATGATACATACATTAATATAGCTTGATGGATTTCTTGTTATATTGAAGTATTTGGTATGCCATACAGGGATGTCTCCCTCCCTCAGTCCTATCCTCATCTCTAGCTGTTGCTGATATGGCAAACAGGTGAACCAACTTATGATGATGCACTGGGGATCATATCAAAGCACTTTGTCTCGCGTTTCAAATTGTAGCGATGGAAAGCTTAATGATACTTTTTTGGGGGACTGTACCTGCCTCTATACTTCTGTATTTACACAAGTCAGTGGTAGACTTTTAGTTGCAATGAAAAAGAATGTCCAAGCAAAATAATGTTTAATCAAAACCTGTCTTTAAAGTTTATAAACACAACAAAACCAGCACCAACTGTATGTAGCAAAAAGCTTTTGTTTCAGTGGGTGTGAATATCATTGTCGGAGCATACTGGGTATTTTATCTACAAAGCTACAACAGTAGACTTTACTAAATAATACCAGAATATATAATATTGAAGGAAACTTAAGCATGAGGCAAGAAGTGGTGGTGTTACCAGGTTTGAGAGGATGTTACTGTTGAAATTTACTCAGTGTTTTTTCTACAGTACTATGAGAGTAGATCCAACCAAACATTACAGGAACCTTATCTAAGCAAATTATGCTTGAAGTAAAAGTATCAAAATGAAGTAGGAAGCTGGTCACTATAGAGTGGTCAGCTGATGTGTTTTGACCAACTCATGGTGTTGCCAGTATCAGGAGTCTTTATCTTTAAAAGTATTTTAGTAATATCTAGTGCTGGGTCATTTATCTCTTCGTATATATCCCAGTTGTTTTATGTTAGAACATTTATCTGAGGCAAGATGTGCATCTTTTTCTTATTTCCTTGAGTGTTTCATTTTATTTAATACGTCTCAGACGAATGTAAATTTCAACAGTTGCCCAACACCCATTTGTCATGCCTCTGTACACTTGCCATCACAAATTATTGTCTCCATTAGAGAGAATATTATACGTTTGACTGGCTTGTGAATGAATTTAAAAGATCTCATTGTGATATTGTTTTGCAGTAATGTTTTAATCCTGTCATGCTCCTACCTATGAGTGCCTTAAGTACAAGTCATGATCATGGCACTGATTTTTTTTTTTTTTGCTCAGTTTACTGTTCAGGTTAAATATAGTACTGTAGACCCTTGCCTTTTGAGCGTTTACGATTCACGATTTCAACAATTCGCGGTGAACAGATGGTGGCTAGCTCGCAAGCCTTTACCTGCAGCACGAGTCACCCCACTTAACATTTTGTGTTGTACTCTCAAAATTTTAGTGTTTCTGTGTGAAATGGCCTCTAAAAGACTGCCTAGTGTCAGTGTTAATGATGCTAGTGGAGTTTAATGTAAAAGCAGAAGTGGAAAACAAAATATTCTTTAGCCTTTTGGCTGATAAATTTATCAACTTCTTACCTTTTGTTGTTTCTAAAACACATACCGGTAGTACATATTATTGTATATAATTTTAAATGATTTTTATATACACACTACAGGTTCAGCATTTGTGAATGTCCTTTGCTCTCAAATGCCAATCCTTTTAATCTTTTATATAGTTTAATAAATTTATTTTATATTTTGGTCAATATAAATATATACTGTATATATATACTGTATATATATATATATATATATATATATATATATATATATATATATATATATATATATATATATATATATATATATATATATATATATATATATATATATATATATATATATATATATATATATATATATATATATATATATATATATATATATATATATATATATATATATATATTTTCTTAATTTTTGTCTTATGGAAATTGTAGGTTTGGCAGATGACTTTGAAGAGGATGAAGATTCACAGAAGAAGATAGTGAAGCGCACAAGACAGTACACTTGTTTTATCTGTGGCAAAACTGGTAAGATCCTCAATGATTTTTTTATGTATGAACATGACCAACGTCTTCTTTACACTCAAAAGACTGTCCTTGAAGTCATCAGTCACCTAGTTAGTCGGAAAATGGTAAATATGGAATCTAATACCTGCCTCTGTTCAGGATGCACAAATCTTGTCAATGAGGCAGATTCTGTAATCCAGAGACATGACAGAGTAAAAGAAATGGTTCAAGAACTTTATTACAGTGCTGTTGCACAAGCTAAAGCTGAACAGCAGCAACAGCAGCATCAACAGCAGCAGCAGCAGCGCTTTACTCAAAATGCTGCAGAAGATAGTAGTTCTGAGGATGAAAAAGAGATTAAACAGGAAGAAAGAGTAACTTATAGTCAGAGAGGCAGGAAACGTAAAGCTACAGTTCTTGCTGATGATACAGAAGTCAAAATAAAGACAGAGCCTCTAGATGATGGCTTTGAAAGTATTGAATGCGACGTAGACTTTGACGATGACTCTGAGGATGAGCGTAAGAGAAGGAGAACAAGAGGGAGAGGAAGAGGTAGGGGACGAGGAAGGGTTCGAGGAAGGGGAAGGGGTAGAGGCAGGCCAGCTACACGGTCTACTCTGATTGGCCGTGGGCTTGGTGGCCAGTACCCTTCATCCAATAAAAGGAAGATTTTACCTTATAAAGGGCCTAAAATATATCACTGCGCAGAATGTGACTCAGAGTTCAAGAAATATACAGATCTCATTACTCATAAAAAAGAGGTTCATACAGTGATTGATAACACTCCTCTTGAAGTTGAGGAAACTGTTCTTGAAAATGGTGTAATCACTTATTTTAACAAGGGCAAAGCAAATAACTCTGAGACAAGTCATCCATGCAGGGAATGTGACAAACACTTTCTCCGGAAGGATGATCTTTGGTATCATCAAGAAATATGTCATACTGAAGGTAAAGGCAGAGCAAAAACTGCCTTTAAAGACAGAACTTATACTTGTGAAGAGTGTCATGAGACTTTCTTATTCAAGTATAAGCTTAAGATGCACATTAATAGCAAACACCTAAATGATACTGGGCAGAACGCAAATGATTTCACTTGTGGAGAATGCGGATGCAAGCTAGGTAGTCTTCCAGGTCTTACATTCCACATGAGAAAGCATCATAACAAGAGCCTCACATACCGCAAGACGACTGAGTATTTATGTAGTGATTGTGGCTTCATGGCTCCTTCCAACAAGAAGTTAAGAGAACATCAGGAGGCCCATTGTGGTTCCTCCACAAAGCCTAAGGTTCAGTGTGAGATTTGTGGCAAGACCGTCCTCAAAGTGTCCCTAAAAATGCACAAAGTGAAAATGCACTCTGAGTTCAAAGAACAATGTGATAGGTGTGGTGAAAGATATGCAACAAAGACAGACCTTTTGCGACATATTAATGTTGTACATCTTCGTATCCTCCTTTATAATTGTCAGTACTGTGGTGAGCGCTTTGCTACCTCAGATGCTCTTCGATATCATAGAGTCAAGATGCATGAGAAACCATCTTTCTACTGTCAGATATGTGGTAAGTGTTATAAGAGGGTAGGGGAACTTAATACTCATATTAAACGTGCTCATAATGATCGTAGGAAGGCAGAGGTTTGTACTTATTGTGGCAAAGAATACTATGACCGTAGCAAGCTGCGTAACCATTTGGTGAGTAAACATAATGTTCCTCAGGAAATGACATACTCTGAGAATTATTTACGTAAAAAACGTGTCGATGGACTGCCATTGGCCAAGCATTTGGAGAAACGGGTAGGTATGGATCCTAAGATGCCACACATGGGCCAGGCTGGGGTAGTCCATCAGCAACCACAACAGCAACCACAACAGCAACCACAACAGCAGCAACAGCAGCAGCAACAACAACAGCAGCAGCAGCAGCAACAACAACAGCAGCAGCAGCAGCAGCAACAGCAGCAGCAACAACACCCTCATCATCATGGTGTGGTGCCACAACATCAACAGCACCCACACATGAGACCAGTGGTGGATGAGGCAGCTGAGGCTGCACGCAATCTTGGAGCATACCAAGAGATTGCTACTGCTACTGAAGACGAAAATTCTCTAGTTGTTACTGAGATTACAGAAGCTCCAGCTCAGGTTGAACAAACTGTACTGGTAGATCCCTTGAGTGTACCTCAGGGCATGATGCATCATCCTCAGGTTGCTCATATGCAACCACCAATGACCATGCACCATCCTATGCATCAGCAGATGCACCACCATGCAGCCATGTCTCGTCTTGGTGTACTTTATCATATGAACATGCCTCACCCTGGTCCATCACACATAAACATGTAGGCTTCAAATCATATTAATAAAAAGTAGGCATATATTTACAAGGTAATAAATATAAATAAGAAGAACAAATGGTAGTGCCAAGTTTTATAAGATTAGCGGATTCAATAAATTATTTTACATTTGCACCATATACTGTATAAAAAATTTAACATTTTCAATATGAAACGAACAAAGTTAATGTATCAAAAACAATTTTGGAAGTAGGTGTCACATAGAAAATTAAGTTTATCATTAGAAGTTAAAGAATGATTTTAGAGGGCATAAAAGCTTGAAAAGGTAAAAAAAAAAAAAATAAAAAAAAAACACTGAATTTGAAAATATTCATGTTGACCACCAATTTTCCGGCATCATTGGAACCAGCAGCAAGACTGACTATTGTTGGTTTTTCCATGGTACTGTACCCTCTAATACTTTACTAGACATCTTCCCTCCGACCCACTAGCTAAACACTTCATGCTAACTCTTAAGTCATCCTAGGATGCTAGGATATCAATATAGTAGAACATATAGGTACCTGTATATAAAAAAAAAATTGCAGTAAATTGAAATTTTGTATATTGAACCCAATTTTCCCATACTTCCATTAAGTAAGTGGAGATAGGTTCATACACAACAAAATCTTGACTATAACGTGTGCGAAGTGAACGTATGTGTGGAGGAAGTGGGCTGTGACTGTATCACCAGCCCAGTCGTGCTGCCTCCCCTGATGTGACATCACAGTATACACACAGCATAATACTTCTGCAGCCACACACGTCTCTGAGTCAGCAGGGGGGGTTGGTAGAACTGTGTGGTTTACTCTCGACGTAGCCCAGAGGTCAAACCTACACCATATAAATCACACCAGCTTTGTACCAAAGTACAACTGTCAATTTGCTTCAAAAGTTGTACCTTAACTTGTTTGCATTTTTGTACCGCCACCAACACTTGCTCCTTTCTTTTCAAACATAGTTGGGGTTAAATAAGAGTAATAATTGATAAAAATTATAAATAAAATAATTTGAGGGAAGTGTGGTACACCAGTAACACAAAAACAAAAAAGGCAGTTCAATAAACCTCCTGGACATTTTGTGTTGACCAGCGGTGGTACCAGACCAGTGATTACTGGATAATTGATGGTCAATCTGTATTAAATTATTTTTTACATTACTTAACATTATCTATGTTTTTGTGGTAATACTGTATAAAGAAAAAATAAATGGTGTTTATTCCTGAAGTGCATCATAATTTATGTACAATACAGTACATGTTTAAAGAATAATTGGATTAGCACCCATTTTTTTAATGCAGAAAATTTTATACTCTTACCCATTGTGTAAAGTCTTACCAACAAACAGTGTCAAATCAGATGCGGACGTGACTGATTTTGAATAGAACAAGACATACAGTACGTATATCCTTATCCCTGCCTTACACCCAGAATGCATCCTAGTACAGAACCATCTTAGTTGAAACCTTAGAAGATTTTTTATATGGGAAATTGGTATAATTTAATTTTTAGTGTTTGGGGTTTATTTTCTTTATACAGTACTGTATATCCTTATAAGGCACAGGGACTTTACCAATAATGTGTTGGTTATAACTGATATAGTAATGAGTTCAGCATGCAGCATAGACATTGTTATGTTGCAGCTCTGTCAGTTTTAATGCCCTGTACATGCTACTTGGGTTATAGTTATTTATTGAGGTAATAACTGATGGACATTCCAATTTTATAATTTTGAAGGGATTACATTGCTAATAATACATCAAACTCAGATTAAGTGTTGAAACCACATTTTTGGTTTAGGACATTTTTCTCACTTCTACAATATGAATGATTCTAGATTATTCTTTTTGTGAGAATAGTTGTAAGGATGTTGTAGAATGTAAAGTACTGCACTGAGAATGAATATACATTAGTTGGGCATTAAAAAGTGCATGGGGATAGTCACATTGAGATGAGGATAAAGTAAAGGTGTTTTGAGTATGAAGAATGAAATACGATCTTCTCTCCCCCATTGGTACTATTTTTTTATGCCTTGATGGAGGGTAGTTGGGCAGTTATTAATTTTCTGATTCTTTTTTAAGAGTTACATCATAAAGATTCGAAGTACTGTAGTTAAATCATAGATTCGGTATCAATTTGTCGTAAAAAATTAGAGTGGATTTAATTAATAAAGATTCTGTTTTGAGTTACATTGTACATGTTAAATATGAAGTGTCAACTTAAACATAATAGTGGAGTGTCATTATTGTGACAAAAGATGATAATATTTAAAGTGTCATCATAAGATCTAGCATATAGAGAGACATCTTGAAGGCGAATGTGGAGGGACGTTATAGATTTGAAGAATTGTCAAAGGAAGGGGTGGAAAAGGGAGGGAGAGATAGAGAATGGCAAGAAATTTGCCGTGTTGGCAGCTTTGAGGGGATACTTTGCTTTATTCCATCTGTGGGAGAAAATTATCTTGAAATACCTGTGCATCAAAAAGCTCAGTGCATTATCCTTCAGTTGATTATTATAACATTAACTATTGTCTTAGTTTGCAAATTATATGACAAACACTTTTTTGGTGTGACAGTGCAGTGTGGAAAGGGTGGTACAATAATATTAAAATTTCTGCTAAGTGCTAATCTGTAATTAAAAGAGTACGTACATGGTTTAAGCAAGAAATGCAGGGTAAAATTTCAGTAACTTTGTCAACTTTAATATGGAAATAGTGTATACATTTGCAAAGGGTGCAATTGTTACAAGTACAATCTTATGAAAAACTTTCCTTCTTATTTGTATTTTATACATTAAGATATATTTTTCATCATGAATGAAGTTGCCTCTGTGATTGCCAAAAAATAGAATTGACATTGATCTAAGTTTACTCTGTGGATGGGAGTGCAGCCTACTGCATGTTATAGTGCTCCTTGCCACTTTGTGTTGGTCATAATACAAACCTCTGCCTCACTACTGCTATGCACTAATAGGAATCATCAAGGTTAAGATAAATGCCAGTAACAATGACTGCTAAGATTTTATGACTGCAGGATTATTCTGCCCTCTGACAGTAAGTGTGGTGGTCAGTTGTGTTGAAACTACAAGTATTTGTGGGTCTTAAAGTCAGGTGTGAAATTCTACCTCTCGGTAAATTAATGCTTTTGAACATTTACTGTTAAGATTTTAGGAAATTTTCATACATTATATGATGATGGCTGTTTAATTGTATGACTCATTTTAAGAGTTTCATGTACCATATGACATTAGCTAGTAGTTCTGTGTGTCATACCAGTGAGAAAGTAATACAGTAGGTAGTTATTTTCATTGAAGTTCACTAATTAAAAAAAGCCATTCCTGAAAGCCACTGATTTTAGTGTAAATATGAATTTCTTAGATTATAGAAGAGCTAATGTTTTATTCTCTACATTATAATGTAAGTATGGTCTTCATATGGTTGTGCTTTTAATTTTAAATTATTTTAATTGATTAATTTTTTTTCCAGCAACAGTTATATATTTATATATAATAGTTGCACTGGCAGTTGTAATTAATCCCTTGTGGTCCCCTCTGAGCTGAATAAAATCATCTGGCATTAGCCAAATAAAATTTTAAAAGTGGCATCCCCTAAGTGAAGGGGTTAATTACAATTTTAATGGGAAAATGCATTGCCTCACTATAAATTAAATGGTTTTTTGTGTACCGGTATACATTTTGAATAAAACTAAATCTGCTTTATTTTCATGTATATAAGAAATGTCTAACATTTCTGTGTTTCATTTTAACTATCCTTGTGACTTGATCAGTGGCAGATAAATTATGAATGAATATATGAAGTACACTGTTGCTACACTTAAGAAGTCGTGATTCACATTGAGTGTTGGCAGAATTAGCACACTCCTTAGCATTTCATCTCCTAATCTGCATCATCACCTTATACTACTGGTTGTCAACCTTTTCTTGGCCAAGGAACCCTGTAAACCATCATGCATTATATTCTGGAACCCAAAACATCTCCATCTACTTTTCCCCTTCTGAAGCAAAATGACAATTGAAATACATATACAGTAGAACCTCGATAAATCAGACAGATTGGGGCAGACCAGTCCAAAAAATGTGAATATATGGGGCAGGTGAGTTGGAGATACCACTGTTAATCTGAACTGTTTAAAGAAAATCAGTTATGTTATTACTGCACTTCAATAACTAAGGTCTTTAAATGTATAACAAGGTTATTTAAAATATTACATCAACAATAAAAAAAAAAATACGAAAACTCTGGGTTGAAAATCAGACATATAAGTCTGGTTGTCAACAACTGTTGTCACCGAGATGATGTTATATGTAAGTAACCACAGAATTTGTCATGGATAAAGAGAAAACTGTATACAGTACTGTACAGTACTGTACTATAGGTAGCACAAGTGTACTCCCTCACCCAAGATTCCTTTAACATCTCTATGCAATTTCACCATAATTCAATTAATTTAGGATCATTTGGTGCTTTTTGAAGACGTTACATTAATCATGGTGAACCATAAGAGAATAGAATACCGAATCAATAAATAAATAAACCTGATGAATGCGGCAACACCTGATAAGCCCCAGCCTGCTTACATACTTGGTGTATTAGTTCTCAGTAGGCTTGCAGGAAATCTGATTAGACCTCTGTACAGTATTCAGTCAGTGTTGTTCATTTCATAAGATTTTTTTTTATAGTATTTCTGGTGACCAGAGCATCTCGGAGTCCGAAAAAAGCAAATTCTGATATATTGAAATTTGATTTATCGAGGTTTTACCAAGTAAAATAATACTGTAATAATAATAAAAAAAATTATTTTTATGTTGAAGCCAAGCTCAAGTTAAAAGAGTTCCATTTATGACTTATAAACTGCTGAACTTTCATTTTTTATTGTTATTGAATTTTGTGGAAACCGTGAAGGATGGTTATGGAACCCTGGTTGAGAACCACTGCCTTACACAAATATTCCCTTTCTGACCTTTATTGCCACCTTTTGGCTTCTGTTCCTGGAGCTCAACTTTGGAAAGTTCTCTTGAACAACACTCATTCACCTTGACACAGGCATAAAGTTAATCTCTTCCAATTGGCACTGACGCCCCAAATCATCATTCAAGGGAAGAAAATTCAAGAAAAATCAAGTAATTCTGATTGACGCTTGAAATTTTGGCTCATCATTCTGGTAGGCTTCCTCTCATGGTAATCCTTCACTAATTGGTCACTTGGCAACAGTCCATAGCACACCAACCATGAAACATCAGTGTTGTCTAGGCAGTGAAGCTAGAAGGCTGAGTGGGGGAGCCCTTTAAATTTTATCTTGATATCCATCCCACACACTTGTGCCCTCCATTGTGCAGTAATATTAGCTTGTAAAGTGGTTATAAATGTTTGCAAAGCATTTATTTATTCTTTTCAATATTTTACTTACAGTTTTCAAATTTGTAATTGTCATGGTGTAAAATGTACCACAATGCCATTCTGTAAATATGATAAATGTCTGAGCTATCTAAAAGTGATGAAAAGTGTTGCAATGTTTTATACTGTAAGTGTTTATTGGTTTATTTTATGACATATCACTTGTTCAAACTTACAAGCATCATGTGTGTGAACTGCATAATAAACTCCCTACTGTGGATAAAATAAACATCCGAGCATCTACCATCACACTGAAAGGTAAGGTTGATTTAAAATATAGTTTTATAATATTGATATAATATTACAAAGTTGTGTAATGTATAGTATGTTGCAATCCAGTATGTATAACAACAGTACACGATGTGGGGATGGAATTGTTTTAATCTAAAATCGTTTACAGCCAAACCGTATACAGTATGCTAGTTTAGTGCTATAACCTCCATAACATACGTAGACACACATACTAACCAATGGAGTACTAAAACAAAGATAAGAACATAGTGGTGAAAACCTTTAAGAGAGTTGACGACTTTGGAAAAAATACTGGGTACTGTACAGTACGCTATTCCGGTTTTTTTTTCCTTCAATTTACCAGTCTTATTATAACTTATAAATTTTTTGTTCACCAATATAAAGTAAAAATGTCTGCTTTTATTGTTATCTAACACTTATTGTCCTAACTTGGTTGTTTGTATTAATAACTGTTATGCGTGACTTTACGTTGTCAAAATTATTTAATCTTTTTTTACTTTCTTTTTCATATGAAAAAGTAATATATAGCACTAACCCACGGACGAGTTATTTTTATTACTGTTTATTTTCTTACATTATTTTTATCAGTGAGTTCTGATATGATTATCATTTGTTGTGCAAATTTTTTGTTTTATAGATAATTAGGCGCCTAGGCACGCACTAGTTTGTCTTCCGGGCACTAATGCTGATGCTGTGCTTTTCTCAGGCTCGCGGCAGTTTTATTTTCAGCTTGACGTGTGAGGTTGTCGCCAGTCTTATATGGACATAATTTGTGAATTTAGGGATAAAGACAACAAGACCCTTCAATTGTTCAAAGACCACGGCATTGTTCCTTTATATAGGGACTGTCTATGCTGCTGGAATTCCTGTGCTTTCAGACCGGAAAGAAATTTGTCTATCACTTTCTCAACGCCGTGGCTCGACATTTCCCACTATCACAATAAATCACTCCGCCGCCCGGGCTGCTTAAACGCCGATGCGCCCGCATCATCTCACGTCCAGAAAATGCATAAAATTTCACCATATCATAGTAAGTTCTTTCTCTTTAATATACCGGGGAAGTTAGGTAAGGTTTGTTTGGTTAGGTCTGTTCTTAATACCCACAAATGTTAAGTAACGTTTATTTAAAAAAATACAATTGTAAACACATTTGCATAAGCTACAACAGTGCCCACTGTAAAATAACCGTGAAAATCCGGCGTTTTTATAATCGTTTTCAATCAGTTTCGGCCGCGGGTTAGTCCTATATAATTACCTAATATAGTTGGTTTTATGTGAAAAAAATCTTTGTTGCCAAAAAATATATATTTAAAGAAAAATCGATACTGCATGGCATTCCCTGCAAGAAGGTAACAGCTAGCCCATGTGTTGGTGGGCGAGAGAATAATCTTTTTTTTAAGACATGCTTGCCAAATTGTTGCCTGTATACCGGTAATTGGTACAGGTGAAATATGGTGTGTAGTTACGAGATTATTTGTGTATTTAAGAGTGACAGGTAAAGTTCTAGTAGTGCCCACTTCAGTTCTGCAGAACTAATAACCAGTGTTTCATGAATTTTTATAAAAGTGAGAATAGGAATTCATCAAAGCTCTTACTTCATTCATAAATGGTCTTTCAATATTGTCTTCAGTCATACTATTAACGTACTCCAACATGATTGAGTCATCATTCACGAATTCATAGGAACTGTTTTTTTTTTTTTTTAAACCTTACCAAGGATTATTCAGCCTCAACACCGGGGGACTTCAAGGTTTCTAGTGTACTGCATTCTTAGTTTTAACAAGCTACCCAAAATACTGTTAATAGGTCAGAATTTCCAGAAAGCTTAACTTGACCCATAATTGAAAAAAAATTGTGTCTAATTTCTCGGTAACTTTTGTTTTGTAGCAAAATATCAAAATTGTGCAAAATAATGCAAAACCTAATACTGTATACATATTACTATACTGTATTGTACGTATATGTCTTTCATTGGTATCAAGTTTACCGTATGTGGCAATGTTACAGATTAAAATCTCTTCTGTAGTCAGTTTAGTTTTACCTTGCATTAATTTACAAGCCTTTCCTAGCATAAAGCTAATGGTGGTTCCATGGCGTTATTTAATTTTACTACATTTTTTGGATATTCTCATATGCATTATCAAGAAAATAAATTTAGAGTTGTTTGTACCCTTATCATGCAGATATGGAAAGATTGCTTAGGTAACTGTCAGGAGTATGAGCCCTAGATTTTTTTCAAGTATATTCAGTAAGAGTTCCTCTCATTTATCACCGGGGATGTTATTACCACAATTAATCAATCATTTAATATGTATAATTTACTTAATCCTGTTTTTGTTGTCTGCCTTCTGGCTTTAATTTTTTTCTGTGTGATTCTTTCCACTTGATGGTGGGTGACTTTGTACTCTGTATTTTCTGAATCTCTATGACTCCTAGATGTGCCTTTTGGTGGTAAAATCAGGAGGATTTTTCCTACTGTGTACTGTATTCAGGATGCTCTTGTTCATGCTGCCTTTGCCCAAACCAGAATCACATTTCATTGTTTACTTTTTACTTCCCAAATTTCATACAATATACCAAGCTAAGGTTTGCATGTACAATACAGTACATTTTTTGTTTACATACAATATGTGTACATACAGTGATGTTTGCATAAATAAATATAGCCTTGTGTCTGTTCGTGTGAGATGCATAGTTTAGACTCTCAGAAATCTTCCCTGGTACAGGGTGGAAAATTCCACTGTCTTGGCTGTGACACAGCTCCATTTATGCCGCTCACACCTGTACCATATAGATTTTTTTTTTTTTTATATACATATACAGTATGCACAAACTCTTAGATAAACTATTCAGGATTATTTTAGTAAAATAAATGGTGTTTCTAACTACCGGTAAACCTTTTGCCGGCCGATGACACTATTTGCATCACTACGCTGACCGTTAGAAACGTGATGTCTCCCATGACCATGAGTACTGACTGGCACATAAAATATTATCCTTCCACATATCATCTATACAATTATTTTGTTCTTTTATCACCTAGTCAGATAGTTTATCTTTAT